GATATAATTTAATATAATTTAACATAATTGAACAAAATTGAAAATGGGTTCTGTTTTTATCTTATTAAGTTATTTAGCATGGTCGATACATACGTCCCTCTATTGTTTAGCCCAACTTTCAATACGGATCGATTTTTAATAAAGTCAAAGTCATGAGACAAGACATGCGCAGGCTCCTGCTTAAAGCAGCCTCCAGTTTGGTGTTTTGATGTTTTGCCCCAAAGGGTTCGAATCCAGGTCGTTCCGCTCTTTCCTTTAATATATTTTCTTAAATAAATGTTTTCATACGTTGCTAAGATTTGATGCGTGATGCGTTTTGAAAATTTTCAGCAATATGTTTGTGAGATATGTGTGTGACGAATCAGGGAACAGAGGCGGGCACATCTGCTGCTGTAGAGTAAACACAAACACGAAGGGAAACCAGTAGGTGTATAAACCAGTAGGGGTGTAACACCTGTCTGCGAGCCGGACGCATTGGTCTTAATGTGCGGAGCACTTAATAATGGTAAGTCAGGGTTGTAGCTGGTTGTCATCTACGGTCCACTACGGTTACAGAGAGGTGTCATTTGTGCTTTGACAACGTTTTATCTCATAATTTCGGCTTTCTATCCCTTTTCTGTAGTGCGGAAATGGGCTTCTGTAGTTGTGTGAATGCATCATTCCAGCCAATCCAACCAATCAGGTGTAGAGACCATGGTGACTGGCTCCGCCCCCTTACTGTCAAAAACAGCGAGCGCGCAGAAAACACCTTCTCGAGTATGTTGTTTTTCACATGAACGCAACTTTTGACCTGGGTTTGGCTCCATGCTCGAGCGCTCAAATTCTGGTTTTGCAAGCGAGCAAATAGCTCCCGCGAGGTGGACTTATGCTCTCTCGAGACCGACTTTTGGTCGCGCGTGATTTGCGCTCTCGGGTTTTGACAGTAATTTGCCTTCGTAGTGTGGGTTGTTGTGAGTCCGTTTCGATCCGCTTCTTCACTGCATTGCCCACAATCATCGGTCCTTACAGGGTACAACGCTGCAGTTCGCCCATCTGGCCGACAGGTGGCAGTGACGACTACACTTTGAAAAAAAAAGCTAAACTTTAAGTGAAAAAACAGAAGGGGAGAAGAAAGGGGAAAGGAAAGAAGCTAGCGGCGCAGAGGTGAACTTTAGCGTGCAGCTAGCTCACAACTTTACCAACTCTCTGCGGTCGGCCGCAGCTTCCTTTCAGCCCGGTTCAGTCAGAGGAAACGAGGGCGCGAACAGCTGACTGACTTCCCCTTGTTTCACGCCGGTAAGTCCAGTTTTTTTTACACAATTCGCAGCAGCAGCAACTGCTGGAAGTTTGATTGTTTCTTCCTGTTAGTTGCTGTCGCGTCGGTGGGAAATGGACAAAAGCCGGGGATCTTTTATCAACCGCGGGTACCGAGTTGTGGGTAACGGCGGCCGACGCATCAGTGCGGGGATGTGTGTTCGGTTGTGGCGCATTTCTCCCCCAAGAGACCGTGGGGGAGGCTCGGAGGTGGAGGGTGGTTAAGGGTCTTTACTACCGAGCCTCCAACCGGCCCATTCATTGTGTCTCACGAGGGGCAGGTGGAGGAGATGATCTGTTGATCCGTGCGCGGATCGATCGTCTAATCTTTGCAGTCTGGTAAATCCATCTGTCAAGTAATTTCGATTTGACCTGAATTGTGATAATCTGGCGAAAGGCACTGATGACAGCGATTCTAAAAATAAACCGGATTAAAAGGAGAATACTTTATTAAGATATTATTGAAGTAGTATTACCAACTATGCAGCTTTTACATTGGACAAGGTTGTTTTAGGGAATATTTGATCCCTACTTTGATCCAACCACTCATTCATGAAGTGCACGTATCATTTTACAATGTTCACTTTGTCACCTTACTTCCGTATTTGCACATCAGTTACTTTTCTTCTTCATCTCTGTTCATTCTGATCTCATCGGTACTGCAGCATCTTTGTACCATCATCTCCTGCTTCAGGGTTCTCCTTTGGGATCGAAACATCCCGGTTCATCTACTAGTTGCAGCCCAGAAAGCTGTACTCCTGGCCCTAAAGTAAAGTCACAATGATTTATGCAACTTTACGAGTCCATAAATCATCTTACAGAGGTCTCATCTGCTACAGTGGGAAATCTTTGCATTTAATAATTAACTGTTTTGTTTTATGATCCAGTCTTGAACCCGCTTCGGATAACAACTTCTTTCACCTTTCACAATAAAGGCCCCAATCACAGGCACCTCATTATCTGTTTTAATTTCCTAGAAATGTCCCAGTCGTCAGATTCCGTAATTGACAGTTGCCTTTTTGCAATGTATGTGGGGTGTTTCTTATAAATGACCGGGGGGCTGATGCTGCTGCCTCTCTGGTCATAAACACAACGGTCTCAAAGGTTAAAAGCCTTTATTGGTGCCGTGTTGTTGATCTGTGGCTCCGCGGTGACGATGGAGGTGACTCATGTGCCTGCAGGTGACAGCTGGGGATGTTTTTAATCAGCCTCCTAATTTCTTCCTGGGTGATGAAGGCTTTTATTTTATTTTCGGTGTTTCACATGATACTTTAGTCCGGTTTCTTTTTCTCTTGGTCTCCAGTGTGCCTCTCTTCTCTATTGTGTCCTCTGTGAAAGGGTCATTGAGTGTTGTATTACTTTATCTTCCTTCTTTGGCAACCAAGAAATGGACATGATCAAGATAAATATTCAGGTGCCCTATCCATCCTAAATAAGAGTAGCCCTTCCAACGTGAAAATGTGGTGTTGGAGCAGATTGTTTTCTGGCAAAATGTGGATATTCTAAAGGCATACAAAACTGAACCAATCTTGTGTCGAGTCACGTGACTTAATCTCTGGCTGGAATAACGCTTTGCAGGCTTTGGTCAAACGCCACGCATTGGTTCTTGTCATCGAGCGAAACGTCTGCTTCTCCTTCCGCAAGATTAGAGGTCGTGCCCTTGGCCTAAAAAAGGCCAAGTAAACTGAGTTTATCTCTGTTGGTGTTTCCCCCGAGCCGGGGCCAGCGCGACGGGCCTCCACTTTGTTGGGGAGGGGGTTTATCTTTGGCCAGCGTAGACCGGCTCTGCCCCTGACACTGTTATTTCGGGGCACTGAGGGGGCGAGCGACTTTAAATAAGTTCTTGCACGTCACTCCGACTGCTGCGGACAAAGCCGTGATTGCGTCCACCGTCTGTCCCTCAAGCCTTTTCCCGTCCAGTCGGCTGCTTGTTGGCAGGTGTGTGGGGTGGGGTGGGGGGGGGTTGTTCAACAATATGGATGAGTGACATGTCAGCCATGAATTGTTGGATATTTGGAAAGCAATGATGAGAAAAGTATCGTTATCGTCTCACAAGATCACAGACTGAAGACTTCAAAGTGGAACTAGAAGAGATGCACATGAGGTAACAAAGCCCTTCCGGCTTAAACTAATGCAGCCAAAAGTCTTGCAATAAATCTGACTACATATGAAGGTCATAATTCAATTTTTCTTTTTGACCGGGATCAATTCACTGATTATTTGAAGGATGTTATTTGTGATTCCTCTTTCCGGGAGGTGTTCCTATTATTGTGTCCGACGACCCAATAACATCACCATTGGTTTCATTATGTTTCTGGAACTTGATTTTTGTACGACTGAGGGAGATTGTACCTTTTCATAGAACAGATTTGTGTGATTTTTGTGTTTACTTGCAGCACAGGGAATAAACATCAGAACAGTGTTACAATATAGTAGGAGTAATTAAACTAAACCAAGTGGTTCTTCTCTGTTGGGAACCGGAAGGCCACGTTATGATCAGAGCGCAATGACAACAAACAGCAGCTGTCTTTGTTCCACTTCCCACAATACCGCTGGGTGAAACAGTCAAGTGTATCCTATACGCTTTTCAGAATAGTCCGATCCGTTCGTGTGCTGCACAGGAGACTTTCCTCTGCACCACTTCCTGATTTCTAATTGAGCCCTTTGGCCATTCAAAACGTTATTTCCTCATTTTGTATCCATAGAAGATGTTTTATCAGTAATAGGAGCCACCTCGAGTATACAGGACACACAATAGACCGCTTGGCTCGTCCTCGGGCTCTGTCGCCGCGGCAACAACCAGCAGCAGGCGTACATGGAGTCGGTGCTGCTTTGAAATGTTTGTTCCTGTTTTAAGTGAACTGAATTTATTCATGAAACTTCTTCAAGCAAAAGTTTGGACAGAAGACGACGCTTTTACTCTTACCTCGGACTTGCCAAACTTTAAACAGTTTAATTGTGCTGTTAAATTGAATAGCCTCCTGAGGTTTCTTAAGAATAGATCCTAAATAGCGAGTACAGATAAAATTAGCTATTTGTACTTATTTTGAAAAACGGGTTTCATTTCTGATACTGAAATGTAATAATAATAACAACAATCCGCTGTGTAAGTCTTTGTCTCTGTTTGGGTAATTCATACGTGTGATCGATCACGTTATCGTTGTTCTTAAACATCACTGACGCACTTGTTGGTTTGAGTAAGTAGTTGGATAAATGCGTCTTATTATCTTTCTTATTAAGGAAAATAAATTCAGAGCATATCTTTTGTGATTATCTATTAATATCTGTAGAAAGCTCTTTTCACTGTGGACAAATAGACGAGTTAATTGTGTAAATGTTTCATCAGTCAACCGACCAGAAATTCTCTCCAACCTGAATTGTGATTCATGTCGTAATATTTTACAGTGTCGCAATAAGTGCCAGGAATCAATAAAGCGTTTCTTCTATTGTGTGGCTGATCTCACTGGCCACACCTGTGCTTCTCCTACATGTCACTCAACTTGTCAACCTTTAGTTTTTCCACTTGAAATAATTATTTTAAATTAATTAATTTTTTATTATTATTCCCAGCCCAAGAAAAAATTTGGGGGGGAAATTTCCCCGGGGAAAAAAGTTTCCCCAAATTTTCCAATGTTTTTGTTGGAGCCCCCCCTCTCTTGTTTTTACCCCGGGAAAACCCCAAGGGTTTTCCCCCCCCCCCCCCCCCCCCCCCCCCCACCCTCACACACTCACCCACCCACCCACCCACACACGGGGGGCACGTAGCTGTTATCACAAACCGCAGCAGACTCTCCATCAACAGGTGCAACACAGTGGACTCGGGTTTCTTCCTCCTCAGCGGGGTGGGGGCAGCCATGTTTGGGGGGGGTTTGTGATGTCCGAGCCCTGCGGAGGGTCAGCAGAAAGAGACAAAGAGGGGCGGGGCGACGTTCTCCGGTTCTTGGTTGGCTCTGGGGATGACGAGCGGGACGCTGCCGGCATGAAGAGCGAGATGTTCCGAGAAGAAGACCTGGAGGAATGTTACGACGAGTCGGTAGGTGACTGGCGTCCATTGAGGTGTGTCACTCCAAACATCACTATTGTTTCTTTAGACGTGGTTAAGGAACGGTGTAAAATAACTAGCTATACTTATCACTAACTGGCCATGCATTGCATTGCATTAACAATAACCTTATAATATAACAGTGAGTCATTGGAAAGAGGAAGCCAAAGCGACGGTCATTTTTGGGCGTTTCCACAGGCCTGGACATTTTAAAGAGGACCGTTTTATTTGGAGTGGAAAAGGAAATGTGGACAGAAATATACAAAGGCTGGCGTGAGAACCACGTAGTCACTTTAAAGCCTCTGGCAGCTGTAAAATGACTTCATGAGAGCTGCGATAGCTGGTCACTGTGATCTCTGGGTGGAAGCAATAGTTCTCCCATCGAGTTAACGGGCAGACGTTCAAAACTCCAGCTGCCCTTAACCGCTGTGAGACTTTAAGAGTCCTAAAATAATTTAGTCCAAGGTTATCTCAAGAATCAAATACTTTCTCCTGTTTGTATTTAATGGGATATTTTCATGAGGGTGCTTGCTGATCATTAGCATTTGTAAAGGTCATTAAGTACCAGAATCTTAGTTGATCCCAAATAATTGTCTTAAATCCGTTGCCAAGCCAATCACGTCAATTTTATTCATTCATCCTCAAAGTCAAACATTTTCCCCAGGATGTTTCAAATCCAAAGGGCAATTGTTTCGGTGTCGCAGGTCACATGACACATCCGTCCCTCTACTCCACATGTTGAAAAGCCACCCCGAGTGGTTTCATGGCATCTGCTCCTCTCTCTTGTCTTCCCCCGTCCTCTCCATCAGCCGCCAGAGCGTCAGATCGTGGTGGGCATCTGTGCCATGATGAAGAAGTCCAAATCCAAACCCATGACGGAGATCCTGGAGCGCCTCTGTAAGTTTGACTACATCGACATGGTGATCTTCCCCGAGGAGGTGATCCTGGAGGAGCCCGTGGAGAAATGGCCCCTCTGCGACTGCCTCATCTCCTTCCACTCCAAAGGTAAAAGAATCTCACAGATTACAGCCCACGAGAAAAGGATTGTCTTTATGATGAAGTAACAATGAGAGGGCAAAGGCGGGAAATCAAACCACTATAGCTCACACTTTTTTGCTGCTTAGTTTGTTTGATGCTATTTATTTAAATGCTCCCAATATCACATAGAAAAGTTACACATTAGGAATTGTTCCGTTTGTGCATTTGCGTTTATCACAGGCGACTGTTTTTCCGTTCTATTTTTAAAGGCCTGTTTGGGATTGTCTGCCGGCCCCTGGGAACATTGTGCTGTTATTATTAGAAAGGAGAAACGTTAATAATTCCTGCAGACCTTTTCCACTGCTGGAATGTTTATGAATTCCTGTGCTGTAGAGTGTATTTAGAAACATCTGATGACGGTCCAACACATTCTTTAGCAATAAGAAGGTTCTGTGCCACAGTACTCATTTTTAATCAAATCATGCTTTGATGTGAGACTTTTTCAATCCATGTCAAAAAAAAATCTTTGTCCAGGTTTCCCGCTGGACAAAGCTGTGGAGTACGCCAAGCTCCGGAACCCGCTGCTCATCAACGACCTCAACATGCAGTATTTCATTCAGGACAGGTGCAGTTTAAAGACGCACACACACACTCTGGTAGCATAACTCACAAGAACACATGCACTGTGCTGCTATTTCTCCTGTTTACCATCAACACAACTAACTTTTTGTTTTGATCACACCCAGAAAACCTTTTGCCTTTTCTCACACTGGAGTCTGACGCTCCGTGGTTCTTTATCACTGTATCTGCATTGTTTCTTTTTCTTTTTATGGCGGTTCAAACCTTGATAGAAAGTAAAGGAAATGTATCTCTCGTATATTCTACAAAAAAAATCCAAAGCAGCTGCCCGCACCAGAAGATTTATTTCACCACCATATGAGCTGTTTTCCCAACAAAAGCTTAAATGAAGTCATTCTAGCAGTGGTTAGCGGATGAGCTGGAAATACAAGGGGTCAGATCAGTCTCAGTAATTGCAAATGCAAACTGAAAGAGTCACAAATGAGCAATTCACAAATATATTCCATTTACAGAAGGATTTACAAATACATTCCAATGCACACGTCAATAAATTCGCTTCACATTTGTGTGGGTTTTTTGAGACTCGTCTGACGTGAGTAGATCCATAAACAAATACATCTACAAATATAAATTGCAATTTATTTATGTGTGCATTGAAATGTATTTGTAAATCTTTCTGTGTGCATTTGCAATTATTGAGACTGATCTGACCCCATAGAAATAAGGCGGACTTAACTCAACCTCATTGAAACTCTGTCTGTCGAGTTCACTTACGCAGCCAGCTTGCAATTTTCTTCTGCTCCCTGATCAGAGGAGCCCGCACACGATAGGAATGTAAATGACATAATTACTATTTTGAAATACCGTATTGCTGTTTTACTGCCAAACACACAAACTCTCTGTGGTTTTCCTTTGTTTTGAACCTTATTTCTAATGGTTTCTTGATCCCCGCCAGGAGGGAAGTGTACCGGATCCTGCAGGAGGAGGGGATTGACTTGCCTCGTTATGCCGTGTTGAACCGAGATCCCGACAAGCCTGAAGGTAACGGCTCTTTATTCCCAATGGAGCAAATAGATATTGAATGGATTTGCATACTGTAAATTGTTTAAATTGATCTCATTGTACATCCATTCATCATGATAACTTATTTGTGTTTTTTCTCTTGTTTGTAGCCTCCGTTTTTCCTTTGTGACCTTGTTGTTTTAGTGTGTGTTTAACGGCCTACTGGTGTGCAGAGTGTAACCTGGTGGAGGCGGAGGACCACGTGGAGGTGAACGGGGAGGTGTTCCCCAAACCCTTCGTGGAGAAACCCGTGTGCGCAGAGGACCACAACGTCTACATCTACTACCCAACGTCTGCGGGAGGGGGCAGCCAGAGGCTCTTCAGAAAGGTGATTGGCGGATGCTCCATAAACTCTTGACACCAACGGACAGTTTTGTTATGATGAAATGACGGCTCTCTTTCTTTAACCCGGCTCATTGGTCCAGGTGCAGTGGAACTGTAGAATGAAGTATCAATGACACTGCCCTCTCTCTCTCTGCCTCGTTGCTGTAGATAGGGAGTCGTAGCAGTGTGTACTCCCCAGAAACCAACGTACGAAAAACTGGATCCTACATCTACGAGGAGTTTATGCCCACGGATGGGACTGATGTGAAGGTACTGTGCACGCTCACTGCTGCATCGAGGGACAATGTGAAAACAGTGACCGTTCATGAGAGACGTTCTGCCTGCGTGTAAATCTCAGGTGTACACGGTGGGTCCGGACTACGCCCACGCAGAGGCCCGGAAATCTCCCGCCTTGGATGGAAAGGTGGAGAGGGACAGCGAGGGGAAGGAGATCCGTTACCCCGTCATGCTGACCGCCATGGAGAAACTGGTGGCCCGCAAGGTCTGCCTGGCCTTCAAGGTAACCTTTAGCGGCCATTAGAAAAGCTGCATTGGAATGAATGGAGTTTCAACATAAAAAAAGGCAAAAAACGCTCCGCTTTGCAGCCCCACTGCCTCACTATACTTCACCCTAGAGAAATGATTTGAAGCTTCAGAGGTAGGAAAAAGTCTTGCCTTCTATGTTGGCTAGCTAGTTTACCACCTGTATAGATTATGCTCACAAATCTGTACTTCTCATGCTGTAATCTCTGAGATGGTATTTTTTTTATTTCCTCTTATTAGATATTTCTACTTTGTCTGATTGTGGCTTATGTAATGTGTGGTCAGAGCTGCGATACCATTATTTTATTTTTATTTTATCCGAAGCGACTTTCAATAGGTGCATGACTTATATGTGTATATTGCGACATCTTCGGGCAGTGTAGGTCACAATCTCAGCAGAATTTTCTCATTTGTTTTACTGTCGCGTTTCCAAATGTTTTGTTGTCAGCTCAGATTTCTTTGTGCTTTTTAGCAAACAGTGTGCGGGTTCGACCTACTCCGGGCCAACGGACACTCCTACGTCTGCGACGTCAACGGCTTCAGTTTTGTCAAGAACTCCATGAAGTACTACGACGACTGCGCCAAGGTCCTGGGGTACGTCACATGACCGGACGCACTAACTCCTATTATTAAGTTCTTTCCATTTTGCCTTTTGTTTGTTCTGAAATCATATATATATATATATATATATATATATGTATATTTCTGTGTCATAGTTTGATATGGAAAGAAGCATTACTCTCTTTGTGTTCTCTCGCCTTCTCTGACACATTGAAGAATTTGTCTGTTGTAACTTTAATGTAAATGTCGCCGTGGAGCTGTAATGTCGTAATTCATCCAAAGGACTCGTTGTCAGCTTCACAGCTTAGTTTATTCTGATTTATGACCTCTCCTTCCTGGGGGAAAGTAACTGAAGCTTTACGAGCAACGACTCATCCCACTGATAGAAGGACGCATGCAGCTTCTCTCCGGTGATGGAGGCCGGCGTCACATTAACCCGAAGAGGCGGAGAGTTTACATGCGTTGATCATCTGAAGCGCTTCAACTACTTAAAATACTTGTGATGAATGAATGTTCTTGTCTCTGCCCCACCAGGAACATGGTGATGAGGGAGTTAGCCCCCCAGTTCCACATCCCCTGGTCTATCCCCTTGGAAGCTGAAGACATCCCCATCGTCCCGACGACCTCAGGAACCATGTGGGTACCATGTTTCCTCGCACCTTCGTCTTCAAAACCTGATGCGCTTCAGCCTAATGTCACTTTAAAACTTTACTTACTCACTGGAATAAAAGAGTATTCGGTGGCTTCTCACCCACGGTGGCCCTTTTTGTGAGCAGTGTGTTTCAGGCTTGGATAAAGTTGAAGTAATGTGCGTTCTCATGTTGTTTCTGCCACATTTAGGATGGAGCTTCGCTGCGTCATCGCCATCATCCGCCATGGAGATCGCACACCAAAGCAAAAGATGAAAATGGAGGTCCGGCATCCTTTGTAAGTCTCTTGGCTTCAGCCTTAAGATGCACCCCCCCCCCTCTCCTCCATCAAATAGTTGGTCCTTAACAAATAATGGTTCTTTTTAGCCAAAATTAAATAAAAGTTACTGTCATTGAAATACAAAATACCACATTTCATTTAGCTGATGCTTTTATCCAAAGTGATTTGCATTGCATGGTTTTCCATGTTTAACCCTTCCCACACAGTGGGAGTAGTGTGGCAGCCGTAGGGGCGCCCAGGGAGCAGTTAGGGGTTTGGGTGTCTTGCTCAGGGACACTTCGACATGGGACATGGAGTAGCCGGGGTTCAAACCGCCAACCTTGTGGTTCCCCAGTGCACCCTCTCTACTCCATGCGCCACCGTCACCTTGTACTACTACTAGATACGAATATTAAGTTGCGAGCTGAGTCCTGAGAGACAAGCTGCGTTCATTTGTTTATCTTTTTGTACTATATATATATATATATATAATATATATACACAATATATTTCTGCCCTGCTGCAAGAAGAAGTCTCTTCTTATTTTCATTGATTGATCAACCCAAAAACGTTCGACTTGAGAGATGTCGCCCTCGTTTAATGTATTCCTATTTGTTAATCTTGCTGTCTTACACAGATTCTTTGAGTTGTTTGAAAAGCACGGAGGCTACAAGTCAGGAAAGCTTAAGCTGAAGAAGCCGAAACAGCTTCAAGTGAGTCCTCCTTTATAATTTCTACCACTAGGTGTGCTCTTCCACTTAAATTCCTAACAAAGCTGTCAGTCTTATTTGACTCGATACTCAGTCGGGACGTTACAGAAAGGAGCCGACAGTTGTCTCTCTTGTGTGCAGGAAGTGCTGGATATCGCCCGCCTGCTGCTGGCTGAGCTCGGCCAGCACAACGACTGCGAGATCGAGGAGAAGAAATCTAAACTGGAGCAACTCAAGACCGTCCTGGAGATGTGAGTGACGCCTCGCATCGATCACCCAAACGAACAGAAGGACGACGGCCTTCAGTCGCCATCCTACGGCTCCCCGTCGCCGCCATCTCTCATTAGCAGTCAACCCCCCCCCTCACCTGTGATTCGCATCTGGGCGATCGGGGTTCAGCCATCTTTTCCACCTCTCACAAACAGACACGTGTTGACCTTGGTCCTCTTCCTCCCTCTTGAGTCTCTAACTCGTTGCTTCCTCTTCCCTCCTCTCTCTCTCTCTCTCGCTGCTGCCCACCCGTCCCTCCTCTCTCTCTTTCCAAAAGGGAATCCAGCTTGAATGTCACTCAGTACGCACCCTGTCCCTCCTCAGTTTTAAGGATGAGACCTCCCCACCCTTCTTTAATTTAGTCATTCAGGCCGTGCGTGCAAAATATTAGGGATACCTGTTCTCACTCGCAGTGTAGATGAACGGGTGTAAAGAGGGAAGAAGGTAGTTTAGACAGAACAAAGTTCATTTTAAAGGTATTCCTAATGTTTTGTGCACTGACTGCGTCATTTCCATTAAAATCCATTCATTCATAGATTCAGAAATTAACACTAGACACATACACAGTCAATGATTTCACTGTGGTTCTCTTTGTGTGAGTGTGTTTGTGTGTGAATTAGTGTGTGCTGTGCTGCTTTGTGTGCATGAAAAGGCAGGACATGCAAGTCTACTTGAATTAACACTAAAGAGCAGTAATCCACTTTTAAACAAAGATGTTTTGTTGGTCACCCACCTGACAGCAGTGATTGAACCCCCAGAATAGGAATGTAAAATATGTTTTAGTCCTCTGAATCCACAATCGGGGTGAAAAGGGGGTTTTCATAGACGACAAAGATCAGATTTGCATTTTAGTTCCATGTTCTGCCAGACAGAAGAATCAACCGTAAGCCCAGTGCTTCAAAGACTAAAGTTCGCAAATGATCAGAAAGACAAAAACACACTCTGATAAAGTAATACATTAATGGAAAAAACGATATATTCTGAGATTAAGTCATACAACGAAACAGCGGAAAACACATTTGCACTTTAAATTTATGCTCATAAATAAATACTTATATAATGAACGTTAGGCTTAGCGGCTCACGTTACTGCAGTAACCGTGAGCCGAAAACACAGAATCTCCAAAAATCTTCCGGCAATATAATCCTTCCTGGTCTTGAATCGATCCAAAGTATCTGCTGAGTGACATAAAACATCTGCTAACACTTGTACTTGTTTGTGTGGAAGATCAGCGTGTCAGATTTGAAAAGGTTTTTGCCTCGTTCCATCTTCTTTTGTTGGAATGGAAGTCAAACATGTGCTGTTAAATAGTTAAAAGAAAATTCTTTGAAATGGGATAAAACCTTTTTGCGTGACATCCGTCTGTATTTGTGCATATCAAAACGTGTGTGTGTGTGTGTGTGTGTGTGTGTGTGTGCGCGTCTCGCCAGGTACGGCCATTTCTCAGGTATCAACAGGAAGGTCCAGCTGACCTACCTGCGTAACGGGCAGCCCAAAGCCTCCAGCGAAGAAGAAGGTACAAAAACACAGAAGTAGTACTTCAGCTAGTACATTGTGGGTGTGTCTACTGTAGGGGTGGGGATTGTACGTCATTAGAGACCACGTCTAAACTGGTTATAGGAATCTGGTTACAGGAATCTGATTACTAACCAATATCAACTTGTAAGTTCGTGAGAAACGATGTGTTCTGCAGAGCCGTCTGACTTGACGGAGCTTCTTTTCCACATTGTGTAGTTGTGTTCTGAGTGTCTGAGCTGCTGCTGCTGCGTTTCAGACTGTAAGAAGGACGGCCCGTCCCTGCTGCTGGTGCTGAAGTGGGGCGGCGAGCTGACGCCTGCAGGCCGGGTTCAGGCTGAGGAGCTGGGCAGGGCCTTCCGCTGCATGTACCCTGGAGGTCAAGGTACACACACACACTCACAAAAAAACATTATCAAAGGTAATTTCTTTATAACGAGGTCAAGAAGGCAAATGATAATCCCGCCATACCGTTTCGCCCACGTGCGCCCATAAAAATCTATTTCCAGCGCGTCATCTCAGCCACTCAAAGCGGCGCCGTATAAACTGTCAACACCGCATAGCTGACGCGCGGCACTGCATGTCAGAGGAGATCAAAGTCGAAGGTTATTTTAGACTCTGTAGGCCTGAGTTCATATTTTGGATTCCAATAGTATTAATGTGCCTCAAACAATAAACTAACTTACGCAAAGTGTGTGTTTTCCAAGAAACTTCAGGCAAGTTTGCGTTTGTGTACCTGCTCTTCATCTTTCATCTCCGTCACCTTCTCACTTTGTTCTTCTCATCTCAAATACGTTTACTGCCCCAAAAGTAAAGCGCGTAGGGGGCGGGGGGCTCGAGAGTTAAGATTCTACTGTAATGAACTTCCGCATTGGCTTTAACATTCTGGGGCAGGAGCTGCAGTTTCGCTTTAAAAGTCAGAGCGAAAATACTGTAAAAGTTTAACCTGTGCTTCTATAGCCAAACCTAAAATATGAACGTAAATTACTCCTCTTTTGAGAACCACTAAATCCTGCTGTGATGTTTGTAAATACTTTTACTGCTTTGCTCTGTAATGTCTTACCCAGAGTGAAATACAGAGTGGCATTAAGGTCCTTCTTCCTCCACTTTGCAGAGCTTTTCACTCTAGGTTCTCTTAACTCTTCTCTTCTCGTCCTCCCCGTCACTGCGTGTAAACTACCAGCCGGTAACCGCCGCTCCCTCGGCTGCGAGTCCCCGGTGGACTTTGGTAAGAGAACGGTTTGCCGGACACCCGCCGCCCTTCCAGGGCTTTGCCCGTCCTTGGCGTGTGTCGCTCCGTCCACTAACGTGCCCGGACCTCATCGTGGTTTTTTGTTTTTCTCCTCGTCCCGTTTGTGACGCGTTGAGAATGCTGTGCGTTTTGTGTGAATCCTCGTCGGTGGAGTTCTAGAGGTGAATCCGCTGTTCCAATCGTCTCCCAATAATTCAACTAACACAACATTAACCTATATTTGACTCCTTATTTCCTAGTAGGTTAATCTAAAGTATTTTACCTTTTCTCCGGAGGGGCTGTGCTCCAGTAATTATTCAACTTCTCCTCATTTTTATTTTGTTTATCCACATGATGACAAGAAAACTTTTTCTTGCATAAATATAAAGTAATTTTGTGGATAATGTATTCCTTTTTGAACCTCGGCTTTTAGATTTAAATTTATATAAAAAAAAGTGTAAATAAATATTGTCTAAAAATAATGTGGAAAAAATATTCAAGCAAAACATTCTTGGAAAAAAAGTCAAAGAAAACAAGGTCTAATACTGTTTTTTTTTTTCTTCTTCTTTTTTTAAAAAGAAAATCTTAAATATTTTAGGTAAAAAAATGTCATGGAAAAAAAGTCCAAAAATACTAGGTCAAATGTCATTGATATTTAATGTCAAATGTCAAGAGAACATGCTTACACACACATGCATACGTTCTTCTAGGCGACTATGCCGGCTTTCCAGGCTGTGGCCTCCTGCGCTTGCACAGCACTTACCGCCACGACCTGAAGATCTACGCCTCGGACGAAGGCAGGGTGCAGATGACCGCGGCTGCTTTCGCCAAGGTAAATATGTCTTTTGTAAGGGCTGGTGAAATGGACAATGGACTTATTCATATAAATGCCTCAAAGGTTTTACACTTTAAAGAAGCTACAGATCCACCCCAAAAGAAAATAAAAGCGTTTGAGCTGCAGTCAAGCTGAATCCGAGAATCGTCAAAACAAAAACAAGTCAAAGACGTCACGTCTACTCTTCTTCTGTACCGCGTGTTTCTCATCGTGCCACGCAATAGTTCAGCTCAAGTCTCTGCTTTCCGTGCAGGGTCTGCTGGCTCTGGAAGGGGAGTTGACTCCGATCCTGGTTCAGATGGTCAAGAGCGCAAACATGAACGGCCTGCTGGACAGCGACAGCGACTCGCTGACCGACTGCCAGCAGAAAGTCAAAGCCAGGCTGCATGAAATCATGCAGAAAGGCCAAGAGTTTACAGAGGAGGACTACCGCAAGGTGCGTGGCAAAGGGAGAATAGGCGGCCTGGTGCCACGTCTGCCAGAAACAGTTGGACGTGCTCCACAAGTCTTCACTCTTGAAAAAGTTCACTTAAATTTCAAAGAATTGTGAAAGTATTGTTACACGTGTCTATTGTGCGTTGTGAATAACTCCACGTACACTTGTGGAAACCACTGAACCCAGGGGAATAATGTATACTAACATAAAAATACATAGTAGTATTTTATATATATTGAAGCTAAAGGTTATGCTTTTTTAAAGCCTTCCTGACTGTTGATCCTGTTTCTGTGTCCTAGTTGGCACCGACTGACAGCCCGTCGCTGGTGAACTCAATGAAGGTCATACAGGATCCAGTCAAAACCTGCGACAAGGTGTACGCCCTCATCCAGAGTCTCAATTCACAGATCCGCAAGAGGCTGGAGAACCCCAAGTCTGCAGGTAGTGTCAACGTGTCCCACCTAGATGTTTGACTCCCAACAAAACTTTTATTTAGTCTACAGACTTGATCCGAAAAAGGTTAAAAGAGACGATACCCGCTGTGACATTTTAACGGGTAAGTTTCCTCCTCCGGTGCCGTCCCTTTAGACCTTCAGCTGTACCACAGCGAGACGCTGGAGCTGATGCTGCAGCGCTGGTCCAAGCTGGAGAGAGACTTCCGCATGAAGAACGGCCGCTACGACATCAGCAAGATCCCGGACATCTACGACTGCGTCAAATACGACTCGCAGCACAACGCCTCGGTGGCACTGGAGGACACGCTGGAGCTGTTCCGCCTGTCCCGCGCCCTGGCTGACATAGTCATACCACAGGTAGAGCCCCATGTCTGGATAGCATGCTTTAGCTGTGCACACGTTGAGGTAATTCAGTCACATATATTCCATTTAAAGGCCTCCACGCCATCAATTTGTGACTTATTGTCGGTGTCAGGCATGTAGTCGCGCCTCCCTGCAGAGATAAAACTCCCGTCTCCTCTTGACCATTAATAAGTACATCATAACTGGATGATCCCTTTCACGTCGTCCTCGCCAGGAGTACGGCATCAGCAAAGCGGAGAAACTGGACATCGCTCAGGCCTACTGCGTCCCTCTGATGAAAAAAATCCAACTGGACCTGCAGAGGACCCACGAGGACGAGGCCGTCAACAAGCTGCACCCGCTGTGAGCCGCACCCCGACACGACGCGGCGGTTCATGGAGGTCACGGTGCTGTGCTGACGGATTTGTGCCCTCTCCCCCCCCCATCCCCCGATGCTCAGGTATTCCCGCGGCGTGATGTCTCCCGGTCGCCACGTTCGCACTCGCCTCTACTTCACCAGCGAGAGCCACGTCCACTCCCTGCTCAGTGTCTTCCGCTACGGAGGACTGCTGGACGTACGTCTGACTTTTATCACATTTTTACTGCTGGAGGGGTTTCTGCTTGGGATTACTCCTGTTAGTTTGTACAGACAACAAGGAGCAGTGCTTCATGTAGTTGGATCATATAGTAGCGTATGATATTGATATAGCCTTATTAGCTAATGATTAATAGGTCGTACATCATTACAACATTTATGGAGTTATAAAGTATAAAACTTCTCCTTTTATCACATTATCAGATGTGGTCTTTGATGTGTGTGTTTGTATTTATGTCTCGAGTGTCACTTTGTTCTGTTTGCATACCAGGATGAGAAGGACCAGCAGTGGAAACAGGCCATGGACTACCTGAGTGCTGTGACTGAGCTCAACTACATGACTCAGATAGTCATCATGCTGTACGAGGACAACGACAAGGTCCGATAACTTTTCCTCCCCGTTTGGATTCTTCTCGCCCGCAGTTTAATTCATAGATTTTTCTCTACGTCTTTAACTGTGTGTGGTGAGCAGGACCCTTCCTCAGAGGAGCGCTTCCACGTGGAGCTTCACTTCAGTCCGGGAGTCAAAGGGTGCGACGACGAGGAGAACGTCCCTCTCGGGTTTGGCTTCCGCCCGGCGTCCTCTGAGGTGCAGTTTGTTTAATTACCAAATAGTCAGTCAGAGGTTCAAAAGGACCTTTTTAGTTTGAAACTTGTCAGCGTGTTGTATTCATTTGTCACTGAATAGAGGTTAAAAACTAATCGTCACATCTAAACTTTTTCATTTTCCTTCTCCCTTTCTGACCAATCAGAACCAAGACAAAAAGCCCAACCAGGGCAGTCTGGAGGACCTCTCCCAGGACCAGCTGGACGAGGCGCTTCCCCTTTCTGAGCCAATGAACATCCAGCGACGGTCTCCCATGATCCGCAACCGGAAGACGGGCTCCATGGAGGTAGTGTGGAACTTACTGCTAATAACGACACAACCAGACCGCCTCTTTCATCTCTCATTTCTTTCCAGATGTTCTTTTTGTTCCGTATCAGTATCAGTGTTGTGGTTCAGTTTGAGTGAGCGAGAGACCTCGGGTCGCTAAATGTTCCCTCTCAGTGTTTAACCCCCCTGGTCTGGCCCCACTCAGGTCCTCTCTGAGACCTCTCCCACCCAGTCCTCCAAAGGCAGCACGTCCCACCGACTCTTCCCCTCCAGCTCGCGCCAGTCTCCCGAGATCAAACCAACCAGTGGCCTAGGTGGGCTCCTCATTTCCGGTGTGTGTGTTTTCTGTACTTGTGTGGGGAGGGGGGGTCAAAGATATAGAGAGAGAGTTTATGCTAAAAGTCTGACCTCGCAACACATTTAATCTCCAGCTGTCATCACTGATTCTCCTCATCACTCGCCCTCCCACCTGTCGTCTCTCTCTACAGTTATTTGTTTCTTCTGTTTTACTTTCGCTCTTTTATCCCCCCTCCCTCTCTCCCCTCTTTCCCTCGGTCACACGCTTCCATCCCGGCTTAACGTTTAGCAGCAGCCAAAGGGGATCAGACTCCCGGGCATGTAGGCGAGAGGTCGGCAGGGAGAGGTACCGATAGCTCGCTTCGTCCTGTAGGTGATAAAGTGACAACGCAGAGAACATGCTGGAGGTATCTTCTCTCTGAGCGCAGAGCAGGAAACATTTATTTATTATCTCACTGATGTTTCACATCTAGGTTTTTGTTTTAAAGTTGATGTCATTGCAGAGCCAACTTTGCAATGTAACCTACTTACTGTAAGTTATATTTACTGATGTTCTCTATATACACTAACTGAACAAGTGAAAGCAATGCATTTAATAAAATCAATATCAGTTTATACCATTGAGGACAAAAAATGTAAACCTACGAATCGTTCACTTAAGGCGAGCAATAAAATAATTAGATGATTGCAGTAAAGGCCATTTGGGAATTAGTGCATGAAAAATCTCAATATAAGGAGGAACATAGTTCTACGTGTTGACATGTATTTGTCCCCAGCTGTAAGACACGGCACATTCTCTGCCATCTGCGTTCTTACTTGAATAAGATAAACCTTTGGGTAGTTCTTCTTCAACCTGATTATGATGCATACAGTTAATAAAGTTAAAATGCCTTAAATATTCTACTTGCGGTTTCTGAGGTCTTTGTAAGGTCCCCTCTGGGTCGAATGACCAAGCTCTCCAAGGGCATCTTACTGCTGACACTCACACAAGCGCGAAAGTCCTTCTAAATCTGGACGTGTGGATAAAACCGTGACTGAGAGAACAGAGTGGAGTCGCTTTGTGGAAACTGTGTGTGCTTAGCTGGGAATTTCAAACCTGTGTGTCGCACTTTGTCAAACTGCTTTTTGTATTCAGTGCAGCTTATCTCCTGCGCTTGCTCGGTTGGGACCTAAAATACTAAATTAAACTGGATGGATAAGTGGTGGAGAGAAGCTTGTTATGAGACCAGCTCAAAGAAATACTCATCGCACCACTCGGGACGACACTAACGCGAGCACAGCGTTGTGCTGCTTCTCCCTAAATGCGTTAATCCTCCCGTCACTCAGTGCTTTATTACCGCACGTCTGAATGCAGCAGACTCTTGTTATGTGGAGTGTTTGCCCCCGACCCCCCCCCCCCCGCCCCCCTCCCCGTTCATCAGCAGCACTGACTTTGCCCAGACCAGAGCAACAAGGGTCGGCTCGACCCCTGTGCAGAAAAAAGACAGCTCAGGCCATTACAAAGCGGGGACAATTAACGCCCTGCTTATCAAGATGTATTCACCTTTGCGAACAAACCTTTTCATGGGGATTGGCTGTTGGTGCTTCAGGGCCGTTTCCACACTCGGGCCTCGTCAGGCCTCTGCTGCTTTTTGTGTACAAAACGCTCTGAATTCCCTTCTGCTCTCACTTGACCTTGTTTACTTACACACACACACACACACACACATTGTGGTCACTGTAGTGGAAACCTTGTAGTTTATATGTCATCATTATGAGGAACAAAAAGCTGCTTTGTTTGTATTATCCACGATATTCTTTGTTTTCATTTATTGAATCTGAATTTAAGGATGTAAATGACTGAGTTTAGTTGCAGGGTTTTCACACAGGTTTACATTATTATTAATGTCGACGTGTTGACACCGATACCCCCCCCCCCCAAAGCATCGGTGTGTTCTAAATAATAGCATGGTGTGTATTCTCCAGTACTCACCCTGGACACCTTCCTCCTCCCCTCCGGCTCCTCCTCCTCCTCCTCACACAGGGTCGCTCTGCTCTGGCCTCTTCAGTGCCTCCGCCCTCGGGGTGTCCTGTAGCGCCCCCAACCTGCGGGACTACGTCCGCACGCACCACCACCACCACCTCCGAAAACCACCCCTGTCCCCCGGCAGTCTGCCGATTGGCATGTTTGGTACGTTCACACGCCACCGCCCGTCCTCCACGCGGCGGCTCCTCCCATCTCTTTTCCCCTTTTTTTTTTTTTTTTCTTTGAAGGTCTCCCAACTCTCTTTTTGGCTTCAAGAGATCTCGTTCTCATTTTTCGCCTTCCGAACGCCTACATTTTTGCCCCACCCAGTGTTGTAATTCATTTATTTTCTTGTTGCTTGAATCAAAGCTCCCTGCTTCCCTTTTGCTTCCTTCCCCAAAACAAACCCATTTCAATCTGTTGCATCACGCGTCTTGCGGCGTGCATGACGAGGAGGCACTGATTTGAGGGCAGAGGGATCGTCTGGTGCATAAAATGCTGAGCATGCAACCCGACACGGGGCCGCGTGACGAGCCTCAGCTATCGGAGCTCTGATCAGCACGTCCTCTCGCCGGTCACGCCGCCGCCTGCTCGGGTTTGACTGTGTTGAAATGTTCACTCTTTTTCTCTCCGTGCACGTTGCTCTGCAGTGCCTGTCACATGGTCTCTCAGGGAATTTCATTTCATAATCCACAGCATTTGTGTCTGTGAGCCAGGACTTGTTTTCATTAATGGCATTTTACAGTAATCCTCGCGTTAAGAAACTCCGCCTGTTACTTGGAACAGAGATATATATCCAGCCCCCAATAATCACCTTTGAATCACATGCTCCCTCCTCGGGCCTTTGCACCAGTCTCATGGTCGTAATGGTTTCTTATCCGCTCAGTTTATCCACCAGGTGTCGCTCTGACTGCAAGGTGGGCGCTCTCACCACTGTTACATCATGCTTTGCAGTGGGGGGGGGGATTTGACTCATTTAAAGGAAGCGACGACGGCATCATGACAGCATATTATTACTTTTAGGGGAGCAGGAAGTGTACTGGTTTCACATCAGGCCTTAAAATACTCCGTCATTAACACCACTCATTATGTTTCTAATGGGCAATTTTACATGGAGTTAAAATGCAATGTTATCAATCATATAAAAGTGGATATTTGTTATGTCATTCAGTGGTCCTAAATCCTGCATTGCTCTGATCCCCATTTGAGGTTACTGAAGCATTTTTGGAACAGCCAGGCTAGATATTTGTCCCCTGTGTAAAGCCTTTATGCTAAGCTAAGCTAATAGTGACATACAGTCACGAAGTGAAGTGAGCTCAATTTCATCATTTTAACTGTCTGCATGAAAGCAAAGTAAAACTAGGTAAGGAGAGGAAGCACAAGGAGGTCGAATGACCTTTAGATCGGATGTTTACTCTCCTAAACGTCCGTCCACTCAGCAAGTCCGCCCTCTTCCTCTGAAAAGCCCGTCTCCCCTGTTTGCACGCTTGCTCGATGGCAGACCGATATTGATGAATCGACGGCGCCTCTCTCTCTCTCTTTCTCTCCCCTTCTCTCTCCCCCTCTCATGTAAGCCCTGGTAGAGAGGCAGACGCTGGTACCAGCAGCCCCAGTAACACCAGTTACCTTTCTTATCTCCTCAGAGCTGTTCTCTCTGCCGCCAGTAAAGAGATTTTCTGTGTCGTTTGCCAGGCATCCGACTAATGGTATGTCTGCTTTTAAGTTTATTTTCGACACTCCTCCAGTTTTTCCTGTTATCTTGCATGACCCTTTTTTTTTATTTATTTTTTTTGTGGGAAAACGTTTATTAATTTTTTGGGGGTTTGACGTTTGGCTGCGTTAATTACCTTAAACGTCTCTTAAGATTTAAAAACCAATTTAAATTTGAAAGCATTTCTGTTTCACACACGCACACCCTCGGTGTTTGTTGTACCTTGTGTGTGGTTTTTTTTTTTTTTTTCCGGCCCTCACCTCTTAACACCACCTGCTCTGCCTGCACGTCTTTCATTCGCCTCTCCGATCCTGCCGTTCACAGGATGTGTGAAGAATAAATGTCCCGCCTCGTTCCACGTGCGGATAATCTGTGCACACATCGTAACACATCCTCCCCTGCACCTTTTATTTTTTTTGGCTCATTTCAAATCATTTATTCTGTTAATTTCTTGGCTTGTCCAATGTGATAATGATGAAGGAGATGTACCTCTGAGGGCATCGGTGATTGTTGTCGTCAGAAATGTTTCCCCTCACTCAACAGACTCTGGAGTGCACTTCTACTGCAGCAAGGTGGGGAGTTAAATCAGGAGAAGACGAGATATTTCATCATTGCACTCAGTTCGTTGCAGTTTTATTTATTTTTATTGGGCAAATCGCTGCTGCTCGACCAGCAACTTGTCTAATAAAGCTGAAACTGGCTGAATTAATCTGCCACTATTTTGATTAAATAATAAATAAATCTTTCAAGCACACATGTCCAGAACTATTTGCTATTACCGTCTTCATTATTGCATATTGTTGTAAAAGGATGTCTGTTGGACAGTCGTGGTCTTTGACTCTGCTTGAACTCGAGGTGCACATCTGTGGTATGTAAGGTCAGGTGAGAACAGAGCTTGAACCCTGACATTGGTCAATATTTGTGCAGCTGATATCCAAACCATTGAGGAACATGTAGAACGTTGTCCCCGCTGATGAAAATGAACACAGAATTATTTTCTGTGGAGAAAAATAAACAATCCGCAACGTAATTTAATACTACCAGAGCTTCTTTGGGGAGATTTCTGTTCTCTTTTGAACTGTCCGGTACATCAAGTCATTGAATATTGGACATGAGGATAAATGTAGCAAACCGTAACTTATGAACATGCAAACACGTCTTGAGCCACCGAACACCTCCTCCTGAGGCTTCCTAACATCACTTTGAGCTGAGCAAGCGTTCTTTCCCTGGAACAAACCAAGCTGCTTTGGCCAACATCCAGTGAGGGGGCCGTTGGATGATTGATGAAAGAATGCAGGCGACTCTGCTGCATCGTGCTCTTCTCTTTGTTGTGATGAACTGGCCAAAGCATCTCGACAAAGAAATGAAGTCTGGAGATGAAAGGTAGAAATCCTGCAGAAAAGACTTCTTCTCCTCGTGTCGTGTTCTGCACATAAATGGCAACATGGGACCCATTAAGAGCGGCTCCACTTGAATGTGAGAATTGTCATCGGCGGAGTCCCATATGTCCCATATGCCCCACATGTCCCTCCCCTAACCCCCCGAGGCCTCGATTGTTCCCCCATCCCTTAAGCTGACTGCCGTTGTCTTCGGGGGTGATTCTGAGGACCTGTGGTCGTAGCACACTATTCAGACCGGCGTGCTCTCAACAACGGATGTGCTGCTTCAGCGTCCGTCAGCGTCCCACAGCGTCCTTCCCCTCTGTTTTTGTCTTTGTTTTGTAGCGGAGGTCTGTGAGCAGGCCGGTTGGTGCTTGTTGTGCGTTCCTGTGCGGCCTTGATTGTTGGAAATCTAACTTCACCAGATGAAGGTGGAGGTTCGCTAAGCTAAAGAAACTACCAGCGTTTGGCCTTTACTCACTAAATGAAGCGCCCTTGTCTCCAAATGTTGATGATTGTTTAACAGAGTTTGTGTTTTTGATCCGACATTAAAGAATATAACCATTCTGGAGAAAGACGTTGACGGCCACTTTGACAGTATGTTGAATTGATTTAGATTTGATTTCTTGAACTCAACTGTTAATCCTTTAACACAAAGTACATGAAACGTTCCCAAATAACCACAACATCCCGCTTTTGTTAGTATCGTCAAACTAACAAAAAAGGGAAATTAACAGCAACCATAATGCCGATTAAGTTTGTGCACATGCGTTTTTTTTAACCGGCCACTTTGTGCTGTGCAGCTGCTGTCTGAGGCCAGACGCTGCAGCAGGTAACACGCCATTAAAAGAAGCATAAAACCAAGTCCATGTGGCTCGTTAACAAACACGAACGTCCGGCGAGCATCGTGGGAGCAGCATCCGCGGAGAGCCCCGGCGCCACCGCTCCCCCTGTCGGATGGAGAAGTGGTACGACCCGCTGTGTTTCTGTGTCCGCAGGCTTCGAGGGCTGCTCCATGGTGCCCTCCATCTACCCGCTGGAGACGCTGCACAACTCGCTCTCCCTGAAGCAGGTGGACGAGTTCCTCAGCAAGGTGTGCGAGAGCAGCAGCGAGGCCCACGCCAAGACCATGAAAGGTGGGTCTGCTGACTGACTCATTTCTGTCAGTCTACGTGACTCAAAGTTGACACTGTAAAGTCGCTGTGGGGTGCATGTGGACGCGACCTAACCGCCGCTCTAGGGTCTTGTTGAGTCAGCTGACATTTGCAAAGTGATCGTGGTGTGTGTGTGTGTGTGTGTGTTTTTATTTCTTCAGCGCTCTCCGGCCTGTTTGACTCTCAGAGTCAGACGTCTCTCTACAGTCCTCAGCAGCCGCTGTCCTCCTCCGGCTCGGAAACGTCTCTGCGGCCTCCGAGCCGGCCTCTGTGGCGTGAGTGTGTTTTTAATGTGATCTTATAGCATTCTGCAGGCCCACTTTCATCTCCTCTGGTAGACGTCTGTATTCAAATGCTACCACGGGCATTGAGGCCAGAGGTCAAATGTATAACGGCATACATATGTATTGTGAAAAAAAAAAAACGCATTAACTGAAAAGGGCAGGTTGCTAGAATGTAAATGTTCCTCCTCGGGGGGTGAGAATCCCTCTTCATCTCCTTACTGCAGACGTTGCAGGGTTTGGTGTTAATCCTCGGCCGAGTGACGATGAGTAAAGCGTGTGAATGAGGAGGCTTCTGCTGAAAAAGGCCGTGCGCGCTCAGCAAAACCTGGATTAAGATTCCGACCCGTTCGGTGTGAGCGCCACGTAGACGTGAGCTGATGCCTTTCATGCACCTCCTGGTCACTGATATTAATTTGATCCAAACAAACCACTTCACTCCTCCTTCTCTTACTCACCTCCGAACTGTCAGACGAGCTAAAAACGAGGCAGGAGGTGAATGCAGCCCCCCCCCCTCCCACCCACCGCCTTTCTTTATCAGCTGGTGAGGTGTTCAATGTCAGCGTCTGTATCTTTTCTCTTATTATTTCCCCTTTTATTATTTGGATTGTTCTGGAGGAGGACCGCCGTGTGCCGGTGTGGAGTCACTGAAGCTGTTTTTAATCATCACTTCATATCTAGTGAAAAACGTGTGTAATGCTCCCTACATGCATTTGGATTTGTTGTTTTAGTTCTGAAATCTGTTGCTTTCCCCTTTACCCCTTCGGCCCCCCGCGTGACGCTCACACAGTAACCAAAAGATCCCCGCTCAGACTCTCAGAGCGGCGTCCCGACTCCGGATTAATACTTCCAGCATGGATCGATTGAGCTCGTTAAGACATGTATAGATTTCATGTTTTGAGGGGTGAGACCTGTTAACAAACTAAATCCTCTTCTTATTTTTTTGAAAGATGGCAGTGTCCCCTCCAGTGCCGTGTCCAGCGCTGGCCCCTCCTCCCCGATCACGGAGAGCTCCGGCCTGAACTTGAGCTTCAGTGAGTAGACCATCTGTCCCCAAAACAACCCAAGGACATCTGGGTATTCAAAGACACGACCAGAGGCCCTCGGTGGGTCTGCCTCTCCCTTCTTCTTCTTTTCCTCACGTTCACACACACACACAAACCTGTACAAAGACACTGGAGGAGATTCTGGGGAGACGCCACTGTGCCGCAAGTATTTAAAAGAAAAAGACTGACTGTAAATGTCACCACTCGGATGCGCGGGGGATCGCCACACTGGACCCCCAAACATCTCATCGCCTTGAACCACTTACTCAACACGTTGAGGAAACCAGCTGTTTTTCTTTGCAAATATTTATGAAATATCTCACACACTAGCTGCCAGACGGCTGAGAAGAGTCGGCCGTCATTCATCTGCATCTGAAACGTTTTAGTTTTCTTCTTCCCTGTTGAGCCGCAGCGACGTAGCTGGCCAATCACAGCCCGCCCTGCAGCTCAACAAGCTGTTCTTCGATTCAAGAGCGATTCAGAATCATCTGATCATATTTTACTTGTGTCTGCACTTGCTACAGGCTAAAAGTTCAAGCTTCCTTTTTGGAACTTTAGCTGGAGAGAGTTTAGGAGATCGACGTCTCACGATGGTCCGTCAAATATGAAGCGAGAGGCAGCAGCAGGTTAGCTTAGCACAAAGACTGGAAACAAAGGGGAAACACGTAGCCTGGCTTTGTCAACAACAAAAAGCTAAGTTTGACTGACCAGGATGGAGGGAGAATCCTCTCAAATATTGAGTTTGGAGTGTTAAAGTAGATTTTAAGCCAGGATGGCGTTTTCTCAGTTTGCAGTTTTTTTTGTGCTAATCTAACTGGCAACTAGACATTGCGTTACATTGAACATTACAATTTAATACGGATAATAAACTAAACAATTTTCAGTGTAAAGAGACTTTAGACCAGAGGATTACTGGGCAGGTAAAAAAAAGCCAAATAGTCTAATTCGCTGCGGCTCAGGAAGTCAGGTGACGTAGATTAAGGGGCGTCGCCCAGGTGAACGCAATGGTTTTGAACAAAGAAGCTGACGGAGCACAACAACGTGCTCCTGAAATATGCAAAGACAAGCATCATGCGATCATCGGGGGTTACTCTCGAGAGCCTGAAGGGTGATGAGGTCATCGAGGACCTTTTACATTCAATGTGCACATCTGTGAACCAGATGTTTGCCCCGTGCAACCAAAACAATAAACTATTTTTTTTTAGATGCAGGTGTTTGTATCGTGAAAAACTCAAGCCAGCTTCAGCAAACTGTCTTCATCTGCTGTTAAAAGGAAACACAACGTATCTGTAAATGTGCATTTGAAATCGATTATTTTAGGGGCTGTATTTTTTATTAAGTTAAAATTTTAGGGTGTTGACAAATCAAAGACATTTAGAATAAATCTGTGCTGTAGTTTTGATGTTGGTGTTAAAGGAGAAAACCACTTTGTTGTAAATGATGTTTGTACATAATGAAAACTACTGAGTGCAATGATTCTCAGGTGGACACATCATGAAAATCTCACTGAACTTGGGACCGTTTCACTTCAATTACTTCTTTAAATCAATGAATTAAATTACTGAATTTACTTTGAAGACCAAATAAACAGTTTGTTGTTTTAGAGGTTAAACTCGTAACGTGGAACAACGCCCTTGTATTACAGTAAAGCTCCGTAATCATGGCATTACATTCATATAGTACAGTGGCACCAAAGTATAAGTGCTCATTTCACACTGCTTAAATTAGCAATGAAGTGACTCCCAAAACCTGCAAAAATCTCCTGTGGAAAAAGAGTTATTACTTTTGGATGCTTGATTTACGTCATTTTAGTTGTGTATTTAAGTCAGTATTCAATGTGCTATTTGATGCCAACCAAAGTGGAGATTTAATGTGTAAAATAAAAATATTTCCGTCAATTCCTTGAGATTCATGTCCTGGGGGGGTGTGTGTGTGTGTGTGTGTGTGTGTGTGTGTGTGTGTTTTTGTTTTAATCGTCAGTCTGGACTCTGAAACCTTTTACTCATCCATAAACAAAGCTCCTTGTCACCAGTCTCCTTCCCTCTCTTCCTTTCTCGTTTGTTTTTAGTCAATTCTACTTTCTCCTCTTCTCCTATCCTGCCATCTCCTCGTCCTTAGTTCCATAGTTCCTCTCCTTGTTTTCTCTCCTTATCATTTTCTGAGCTTGTCTTTTTTCCCCCTCTCTCTCTGAATGCCACTAGCCAAAGAGCTTTTAAGAATAGTGATGACTCACACCTCCTCCTATTGCTCCCATGCGTTGCCATGGTGACACCCCCAGATGTAAATGAGTCCTCCCGAGCGAAGCTGGGTGACGGCGGAGACAAAAAGACCGCCGACTTACCGGAGGCCAGAAGATGATGTCATTCTGAATGTTCGTTCTCAGGCGTTATTCCCTGCGTTCACAAACACACAAATCTCCATTTCCCACGTCTCCTGTGAGGTCATGCACGCACACACAGACACACACACACACACCCTTGTCTCATGCTTCCCTCATTCATGGTGCTCACGGCTATTGTTTTTGTGTTTTTGTGACCTTTTAACACATGGTACCCCGGTTGTAGAACAGAAAATATAAATAATTCATGCTGTTGGCAACAGAAATAAAGGGACGCCAGGAAAAGTAACAAATAAGTGGGCTAGAAGGTTTTCTCTCTGGAGGAGATTATTATTACAGAAGCACGCTACAGATGTGCTCAAACTACTCGGCTCCCCTCCAGTTTTTGTCTATTGGGGGACGAAGGTTAAGAGGTGAGGAAAAAGAACGTCAAACTGAGGCTCACGTAACAACTCCTGCTGTTATTTTCCACTGTAGGACGTCCCCGTGCCCCCGACTGCCTCGTAGCTCTTACCCAGCTAATTAAACCCTAAAGCCGAATGTAAATTCAGAGAAGTGGGAGGACGAGGAGAGGAGAGCAATGGGTCGTTGTGCCGAGGAGAGAACCGTCCTCGTCGAGTCTCCATCCCAAGCCCGACAGGAGGGCCGGGAGGTGTCCAGTCAGACCTTCCAGTGCCCACCCACACTGCTTCCTCACTGCCGCCCCCCCATAACCCCAGTCCAAAGTCGAAAAGCATCGCCATGGTAACCGGGAGGGCACACGTGGCGGGCGAGCAGCAAAGCCTCAGTCACCCCACTAGCTCGCTGCGCGTGACGGCGAAGCCTCAAGGATTTCTTCTTCCCCTTTAGATAGAAAAGCAACCCAAAGGTAGATCAGGATCCTTCCATCACCGGCTGGTGTGACTGCAGGGGGGGTAACAGGTGAAACTGAAGTAAATGGGGAAGTCCCACTTTTATCATCAGTTTATGTGAAATTTAAAATTTAACCTGAGATGTAAATGATGTGAAAGCCTGATTTTGTATTGGCTTCATTCGTAAAACTAGGCAAACACAATTTAAATCATTTCGCAGGCAGTTGCTTTTCTTTTAGGGACTAAAACTAAACTAAAACACTCACAATCATTGAACACATAACTTTACCCTCACACATTATTCACTGTGTGTCCTAGCGTCCCTATCGGAGTCCGGAAGTTTATAGAAATTACAGAACGTGAATAATGAAGACAACTTTCTAGTTTCCAAATCCAAGAACTGATTGTTAATGTTGACTGACACATTAATGGATAATATGAATAACAATGATAACATGTTGGGTATTGTTCTTTGTGAAGTTTATAACTTAAATGTGTATGGCAGTGTATAAGTGCATAATTCTTGTGTGTTAGCTGTTTGAACACAATTTACTGTGTTTCATTTTTCACGTGTAATGTGATTATTGTTTTTAATACTCTTGATAGAAAAATCAACCTGTAAATAGACCGACAAACAAAACCCACGACACACTTTTATATTTATTGTACTTTAATAGATGATCACCAGGCTGTTCCCTTTTACAATGACTCTGCAGTAGTTCTAGTTTTACCAGTTAGATTTATAGAGAGCGATATTGAATATTGCGCTGAGGAAGAAATCGTAACTAAGCTTAATACAATGCAAAAGAAAAGGGAGGGAATCAAACATAACTACCAATACAGCGTCTTCTTAACATGTTAACAGGGAAACAATAAAAGCACAGCCCAGTGTTACACCACTGTAGCTCAGTTCAGTACCAGTTAAGACAATTAGCTTGTTTTTTTTGTTCTTTTTTCTTCAAATATACCTCTTTAAAATAACATTGCAGTTTTTAATATTTCCATGTTCCAAGTACATTCAGGGTTATAACTAAATTAAATACATGCAGAGAGATTAGATGGACAGGTGACACCATGTCGTTACTTCGATGCATTTACTGCGATGAAACTGAACCAAGCACATCTTTGTTTTCACCCTGTCTACTCGTCAGCGCTCTGTTTATTTCTCTCTGTTCGAGTAGTTTGCAGTTTGGACCGTGAGGTCAGCAGAAGCAGCTAAAACGAACATCGAGGGGAAAGGTCGTCACATCTTTCAGATCTCTACGCGTAACTCCTCGTTACACGTTTGCTTCATTCCATCATTTCCTCGAGGTTTCAAGTTGTCGTCAGGAAAAAGGATCGAGTTGCAGCTGCAGTTCTGTATTTATATTAGTTGATATTTCTGGGATACGCTCGATGTGAAATGGACCCTCTCCTGCACAGAGAACCTTGTCTGCGCTGATTGTGTAATCAATCCTACCACGCGTCTCCGTCCAGGCCGGTGTGGCTGTTTTTGATTTGTTTTTTTCCTCTATCGTTTTGATCCAGCAGCATCCTCATGGTAGTATCGACTTTACATTCAGAAAAATAGATCTCTATAGTGCGCTCAGCTTCTGTATAGCCATACAGGTCCTTCCCAAAGGGATTCACAGCTTTCTACTGAGGCTCAACTAAAAAACATTATTCCGAGCCGTCACAACGCGTCGGGCCGTCTAAAATAATCTGCTGCGTGAAATGAAAAGCTTGATTTAGATTTATTTGAACCCTCTCAGACCCCCTCAGTCTCAAAGTGCCCTTTAGTTGATCAAATCCCCCCCAGACTAAGGGGGGTACTTGTGCGTGCCCAGCTGTTTAATACACAGCCTGCAATCTGCCCCCCAAAATAAATAACAGCTCTCCGCTTCTGAACGATCACAAGGATGAGATGCAATGAAGGCTTACGGAGTGCGTGAGGGACACCTTCGGTGAAGGGGGGGGCCTTGGAAGATGAGGTATTCGCTGGAGTTAACCTTTAACCTTTAACGGGAGGAAACGGCTGTGTCGTATTTTGAAGTTCAGCCGGAGATCCCTCCTGCTTCTAGTTGGCAATATTCTGAGTATCGTTACGTCATCAAAAAGTCAAACTGGGTTCTTTCTGGAAACCCAGCCCAAAATAAACAACAGTGATTCATCTTGGCAAAAAATGTTATTCAAACGTAAAATGTGAATATAAGATTTGCTTCTCAGCGAGCATTTGGAGAAAATTAAAAAAAGGATTAATTGCAAATGTAAATTTGTTACTCTAACAACTCAGATATAAAAGAAGAAATAAAAGTTGCTTAAATGAACCGCGGGCATGTGTGTGTGTGAACCCACTGAAAGACCTTTCACAGTGAGCTGTGTGTCCTACGCTCTCACACACACACACACACACAACTCCTCCTCCTTTGTATTTACGCCCAGTACAATCGTAATCATTCATGCTCATTCTATAAATATTACTGTGGGATTATTATTCGGTAATTGCGTCAGAACTAATATGCTGTTCTTTACTGCTAGCTTAGTTTGGAGGAACAAGCGGTACATTGTTTTATCACACAACTAAAATGTAGCTCCTCCAAACGCGCTCGCTCTCTGTGCTCCAACTACGAATAAAAATCCAACTTTTAAAGTGCATTCCTATTTTCCTGTTCAAAGACATTCATATTTGTTTAAAAGTGGCATCTCAGAATGTGGCATTAATGCTAACCTGGATAACGCAGCTCCAAGGTCATTTAGCGTACCGCTCCGTCTCTATTTCAAAGTTGTGAACTCGTTCTGTTTTTCTTTCGCCCTCTGGTTTGCGGCATCCGCTTCAAAATGTCTGACGCGTCCTTGAAATACCCCGCCCCCCACCCCCCTCGCTCCAAGAGCACAACGGGAAGGCACGTGGAAGAAGCCTCCTGCGACAACAACTCCAACAATACGCACACATGTTGCACTTCCCAGAGGGACGAGCTTCCATTGCTACATTTCTCACAGGTCAGTGCTCGCTGCATCCATCCTCCCCCCGAGGCGGTGAAATGTAGCCGATCAGGAGTTATTTAATTAAACCTTCTCATCAAACGCGGGTTCACAAACCACCGCATTTGCATCATCACAAAGTATCTCATGTCGTTTAACTCTGTGTTGAAATAGAAAGGTTGAGTCTGCACGTTCAGCCATCAAGGAGTGAACGGGGGACCATTACACCCGGCAGAGGTGTGACGTGTGCCGCCATAACTTTTAACTGATGCGTGTAGTCGAGCTGTATGGTTTTGTTACTGCTCCTCCCTCATCACTGGTGTTTTGCTTTTGTGGAATAATTATGTTAATTTTTCTGTTGGATTTGACAGCAAAAAGCCAACGTGATGATTTTATAAGAAAACGATTTTTAAGTGCTTGTATAAGAGAGATAATAAACACAGTTTCGACTTCAGTGCTTTGAGGACTGCAACAAATGCGTTTTAGACCGGTACCATGAGAGGAGGGAGCTGGGGGGAGGGGGGGCAGGGGGAGGGTTAGGGGGGGCACAGCTCAGAACTCGATCTTGCAGGCGGGGAAGGACTCGTCCTGCATGACGACGGTGCTGCTGGAGGCCAGAACCATGATGTTCAGGTCCTGCTGCCTCTCATGCGTCTGCTGGTACCAGTCCCGGGTCACCTCAGAGTCGTGGGTCGGGATCAGAGTCACCTGATGGGAGGCGAGACAGGTAGTTTGACAGTTTAAACCCCACAGATATTTAGGAAGGGTTGCAAAGCTTTGCATTTAAATAATTGACTTGCACCTGTGAATTGGACCCCCACTGAGCTTTGCCCTCCAGCAGGGCATCCAGGACTCCGCGGCTGGGCTCTCCGCTCCCCGGGTCGTTCCCGCTCACCACGTAGTACGAGGCTCGCACCCTCTTGAAGAATTCCTGGTCCACGTTCTTGGCACTGCAGTGGTTGGGCACGTAGGCCAGGTCGACGTAGATGGGGGGTCCGGGGGGCACGGCCGAGCCAGCTTTTTGGGGGTTGTTCCCTGGAGGAGAGCCGAGATACAAACAGCATTTCAGGGAAGTACCAGTCCTTGAACGACAGTAGCGAAGAACAACTCGTCCCTCCACTGAACAAATTACCCAATGACAGAACAAGTAAACGCACCTGAACTGCTCTTGACTCCGTTGACCAAGCCCCTTCCCGGGTTGAGGATGTCGCTCCTGGAGCCTTGAGTCTCCGACATCTTGATCAGCCTGGAGCTTCTGTCAGTGTCCTTCCTCTTGAGGGAGGCTGAGCGAGCCGAGGCCGAGTCCTTGGAGGTCTGCTTCACTGGAGTAGAGGACCTCTTCCTGACTTCCCCCTTACGAGCGGGGGAGGCCGACTTGGGCTTGCCCTTCCTGAGGCCCTTAGTGGCCTTGTGCTCCTTTTTAAGAGGTTTCTCTGCGATGCTGCGGTCAGTGAGCGGAGCCTCTGGGTCCACCATGCACACGTCCGGGTGCGGCGAGTGGGGGTGAGGGTCCGTCATCGGGGTAGGAGGTGGGTCATGGGTCTTCTGAGCTGACCTCGGTGATGGAGGATGGTGACCCCCCCCAGCGCCGGATAATTTGTCTACAGGCAGATGTTCGGCGTCTTCGTCCGAGTCCAGGTTTCCTTCGGCCGTTATGGATGGACACTCCTCGGTCCCCGGAGGAACGTCGGAATCAGACTGCGAAGGCAGCGACTCGCTCGCCGATGTCGGCGGCGTTTCCTCCCCGGCTAATGTCACCGCCAAACCAGACGACGTTGCGCCGGGCAGCTGGTGCGGCGCCTGTCCGCCATCTCCGGGGGAAGCGTGGTGGCGCCCCTGCTTGTGCGACCTTCTTTTCACAGAGTGCTGCTCCTGGTCGTCCTCGTCTCCTTCTTGGGAGTGGTCGCTGAGGTCGTCCTCCTCGCCCTCATCACTGGAGAGGGGATGAGGGCTCGGGTTGATGAAAGATGGGGAGAGTTCTCCCTTGCGATGTTTGTAATCGCAGGAGGAGTGGCCTGCGTAGGAAGCAGAGGAGGAGGTGTTCAGGTCAGAAGGACGTTCGGCCCTAGCGCCTCCTTTGCCTGATATTTCTGTCTGATAGGTATCTTTCGAGGTGGACTTAGCAGCACTGTGGACAGCTGTCATCCATTCCACAGCCGCCCCCACCTCTTCCTCCTCGTCATCATCCCCATAGCCTTGAGGAGAAGCACTTGGGCAGTCTTCAGGCCTCTGCAGAAGTTCCCAATCAGATATACTGCTCCTTCTCCTCACCTCTAATCTCCCTGGTGGAATCTCCAGAAGGTTTTTGTCCTCGATCTTTTCCACTTCTCCTTTATTACCATTTTCAGCTTTTTCACTCATCTTGGTATCAGCGGGTGTCTTCCTCTCCTCTGTGCCTTCTTTACGCAACGTTTCCTCTATTTTCTGCTTGACTTCACGGTCTTCAGCAGTTAACGTCTTTTCATCTTTTTCAGAAACCTTCTCCTCTTCCTTCAAAGGTGCAGTTGCTCTGGTCGCGGTTTCCCCCTTTACATCCTGTGATTTCTCCTTTCTCTCTTTATCGTCCTCTGATTTGGACACATCTGTTGTGGCACATGTGGTTTTGCAAGCTCCACTATCACTGAGTGAATCACGTGAGGCTGTATGTGGCGTTGTTTCCATCACCACGTCATGTTTAGACACGGCGGTAGTAGAGGTGTTGGTGTCCGACGTTCTTTCTACCACATGCGACTCACTTATCAACAAGAACGCTTCCTTTTGCTCAGCCGCTGGGATTTTTTTACATTCAATAAGACACGGTAGGGTGCTGTCCTCCATTTCAAGTGTGACAGGCTCCTCGTCTTCTGACGACTCTTGGGAGGCATTGTCAGAAGAGGGATCCCTCTGCAGTGGAGACACCTCAAAGCAAGCCTCTGACACGCTCTGTGACACCTGCACGGGTTCCATGGTTAGCGAGGGTGGGGCGGCGGAGGATGTCGTAACGTCGCTTTCTAGCATATAAAAACAGTCAGTGCTTGACTTTGATTCAGTTTCAGGCTTTGCGGACCCGCTTTGAAGGTCGGTTGGTTTGGCAGTGGTAGACGGGAATGGGTACGATGGTTTGGTTTCCCCCAACAGGCTGGGAGGTAAAGACACTTTTGCTGCGGGTTTGGTTGTCACCTCCATGTACTCATCTCTCTGAAATCCTCCAAAGCAGGAGCTCTGAGACTCCGCTGATGGCTCCTCTTTGTCTAGAGGTACTGTGGAGCCTGAAGTTGTTGTTAAAGTTTGGACTTGGTCTCCAAGCGGTTTGCTCAAAGAGGCAGTGGTTGAGGGCGAGAAGGAGTAACTGTACGACGTGGAGGAGTATGTGGACGTAGAGTATGTTAAGGTGGTGTATGTGCACGGTGATGAGGCAGTTTCCTCGTGTCTCGTGGTGATATCTATGGTCTGCCTCCCGTCTAGACCCTCATCTTCGATATTTCTTTGGCTGTAATAGTCATCCTTCTTTTCTTCTTTATCTTTCTTCAATCCTACTTGACTATTCTCAGTGTAGAAATGCTCAGAACAAGCCCCGGGTCGGATGTCGGAGTAGCTACGTCTTAGAGGAGGGGAGGGACTAGATGCAGTCTTGGAAATGGATGCTGAATCTCCAGGCGGTGATCTGGCGGTCGAGCTGGTCGGTTGACCGGTTTCCTTTTTCAAAAAGCTTGGCGACAGAGACGCTCGGTCGTCTTCTCCTCTTTTGGACTGCGGTGCTTCATACGAGGACACGTCCTCTGCCGATGACAACCTTCTCTTTGTGGTCGGTTCAGGAGACAAATGTTTTCGGTCAGTGTCCTCTGCTTTCTTTGTTTCGGGATGTTTGGCAGCATCGGATGTAGTGAAACCACTTTGGTCCACTCTGCACACAGTTGGGTCTGGTGATGGTGTTGTTTTAGCTGCACCGTCACTCCTTGCCCCTGGAAGTGTTGATGCATCATCTTTTTCATCATCATCATCTTTTTGAGCTCCCTTTGTTTCAGGAGATGATGTTTTTTTACTCTCGTCCTGCTTGTCTGAAGGTAAGGCACCGTCAGGTGTTGGTTTCCAGGCTGTTTCATCTTTAAGAGGCAGAAGAGACTTTTTATTTGAGTCCTCTACCTGTGCTAACGTAGCACTATCACCAGAAGCACACCTGCACATTTCTTTTTCAGACTGTTCTCTGGCACCCTTTTCTACATCTACATCACTCAAATCCTCCTCTTCTTCCTCCTCCTCTTCATCCTCATCCTCATCATCCTCCTCATCATCATCAACATTAAAATCTTCTCCTTCGACAAGTAACCTCTTATCTATCAGGCTCTCTTTTCTGTCAGGAAATCCTGACATTGATTTACAAGAGGCAGAGGTGCTGATTGAAATATTCTCAGACGCCAAAACATTGTCATCTAGTTCGTGACCTGAGAAGGTGGCGGCAGACGCAGTCCTCCGAGCCTGTGAAGCTTCTCCTTTCTCTACAGGGGACGCTTGTTGAGTTAAAATGTCTTTTTCTGCAGGTGAACGCCGACCAGATGGAGATTCCTCTTTTTCATGATCAGAGGACTCTGTGTTGTCTTTGAGTGACTCAGCAGATTTTTGTCTTTCCTTCTCTGTTCTTTTTTCCACGAATTCCCCAAAAGCTACGGGGGCAGCAGAAACTTGTGTCCCGAGAGCCGGCTGGCTCCATGGCGGGGATGATGTTTCTTGTCTTAATGATTCGCATGCCGATTGAGCAGCAGCACCGGCAGACAGCGTGTCGCTCTCTCCCGTCGCTCCGGTTGGAAAAGCTGCGGCTGCAGCACCTCCCTCCACATCCTCCTTCTCCTTCTCTGATTTCTCAGGTTTATCCTCTTTGAGACTGAAAGAGTAAGACTCAGCAGCCTGGGACATTTTGTTATCTCGCATGTCTACGGACGAAAAGCTCTTTTCTACATAAGGTGTGTTTGGTCTTTCTTCTCGCTCACACTCTTCCTCTTGGCCCTTTTCTCTGTCTTCATATCTAGGAGAGGCGGCGTGGTGACGGCTGCTTTCACTCTCAGCGAGGGCCACCGGGCCGTAGTCGACTCTACTGAAGGACAGAGGCTCTTCTCTGTACTGATCGTCCAGGACGAACATGGCTCCTCCAGCTTCTGACTGGCTTGTTCTCCTGTTGTCATCAATGCCGATATCAGAGTCGTGACCGAAACCCAAAGAAACCTCGCTTTCTTCTCCAGAGTCCAAGTCGTGACCCTTTGGAATGGGCTTTTCATCTGGATCGTACTTGGACGCACCAAAGGTGTGCTTTTCCTCTCCGGTGCTTCCACTGGCCGTTCCGTTCTCCAAGGTCACTTTTGCAGTTTCTGACTCAACAACTTCTGGTTGGCCAGCGTCCTCAGAATCCAACATAAAATACGAGCAAGGCTGTGATAATCCGGGAGAAGCCACCTCTCGTTCTCCTTCCATCTCCCTCTCCGCTTCCTTTGCTGGCTTCTCCTCCACCTTTGCTTTTCCCGCTCCACCAACTGCTGAGCTCGTCAGAGACGGGGTTGGTTCTTCTCGTCGTGGCGGTTCCTCAACACTGGACTGGCTCTCGGTGCTCGAGAGCGTAGAGCTCCTGGGTTGACTGTCGGTACTCGATACCGTCGACAACGTTGGCTTTTGCTCAGCTGAGTCTGATGCCGGCTCTTCTCTGGCTGCTGGTATATCAGAGGCCTTTTCTGGTTTAGGAATAGAAGTCGTCTCCTTCGATGTGTGATCGTCAAACCAGGGCTCAGGCTTGGCGAAGGGTGCAGCCCTGGTTTCTTCAGGCGAGAGTGTGGGTTCTTCTACGCCAAACTCTTTGCAGTCGTCGTCCAGGGAGGGCTCCTGCATGGTGAATGTCGGTATGATCCCTGTGATTGGCTCTGACGCTGGCGGTTTAGGGTGCTCGCTCGTCTGTGGTTTTTGAGATGAGGGCAGCCCTGCAGACAAGATGTCATGTTCTGATTGTCTCTGCTCCACCGACAAAGGTCTGGAGCCTGCTCCTCCCATACAAATCTCCTCCTCCTCCTCCTCTTCATGTCCCCTGTCTTCGTCGGAGGATTGAACCACAAATGCAGATTTTAAATCGGACATCGATGCCGTGGTTGCTTCTCCTGATACATTCTCAGTTTGTGATGGTTGTTTGATGGTTTTCTCAAAGTCTTTCTCTTGTAACTCCTCTTTCTCCCATTTCTCCTCTCTGGGGAGGTCTCCATCAGGTGAGTCTCGAGTCATCTCATCTGCCGTCTTGTCTGCCGCATCCTTTCCTTTCCACAACTTTTCATCTTTAGTGTCATCAGTCTCAAAGCTGTATTCCTTTTCTTGTTCTTTTTCCATTTTCTGTTCTTTGCTCAGTTCAGCCACATATGTGTCATCTTTTTCTTTCTCCTCCTTCTTTATTTTCTCTTCTTGACTGATAACGACCGTTGCTGCTTTTTTCTCCTCCGGGGTGAAGCTGGGAAAAACACAGATGTTATCGGCTCCTCGCTGAATGTCTGCAGCACCAAAAGTTTCCTCCTCGACTTGAGCTCCTGTAAGCTTATCAGAGGCTCCTTCACGCTCATCCAAAATCTCACAAACATCATCCTTTTTCGTTCTCTCGTCTTCCGAGGTCTGAGACACGGAAAGATCCACCTCTTTTTTATCATCCTTCTTAGATTCAGCACCAAAAAGATGATCAGCTTTCTCTTTCTTCTCATCTTTGGTGCTTAATGTTGGAGTGTAAACGTCTATGCGGGTCTCCTGTTTGGCGGATTCAGTGTCACTGCTGCCCCATGGGCCTTCCGCCTGGATGGTTTCAACTTTAGAGGACTCTTTCTCTTTTGCCTCTTTTGGCTGCTCCACACTGGAGTCACTTTCTTTCTCCTTCGTAGTCTCATCTTCTTTAGTTTCTTTATCTTTCATTTCCTCCTGAATGTGTTTGTGATGAGAGATACCAGCCGGCTCCTGATCTTTAACCTCAGAAATGTTTTTGACAGAAGTATCATCCCTCTGCTCCTTAATGGATCCCAAATCAGATCGCTCTTCTTTCTCTTTCTCCATTTCTTTCTCCGTTACTTTAATATCTTCATCATAAATATCATCCTTTGGGATTTCTTTTGCCTCCTCCTGTATGAGTTTGAAATCAGACGTAACCTGTTTCATCTCTACTTCATCTTTAGGGGGATTCACAGCAAAAAGGTCTTTACTTTCTTCCTCCTTTGTAGGTTTAATACCACAAATGTCATCCTTAATTATTACTGTACATGTTTCCTCCATGATGTGTTTGATGACAACTTCTTCCTCAGTGAAAGTTTCCTCTTTTTCTGCTTTTTTCTCTGTTTCTTCTTCCACCGTTGATTTAACAACACAACTATCTCCACCGATATCCGTCACCTTTTCCTCTTGAATGGTCGGTTTGATAAGAAATTTGTCCTCGGGGGTTGTGACAGCATCATTTCTTTCTTTCTCCGCTTGGTCCTCACCGACTGGTTTAATGGCCTCTTTAAGTGTCTCTTTTGTGTCTGCCATGCTGGATGCGGCGGCGACGTCATCATCTTTTCTTAATTGAACATGCTCCGCTTCCATCTTGATGAATATGGTGGCGGTAGTGTCGTCTTTACTTTCCTCTCGTTTCATGTCTTCTGCCAGTGTTGGTGTAGCAGCAGAAGGATCTTCTGTCCTTGGCATTTTGTCTTTTTCCTCTGCCTTGGTGAGGATCATAGCGGCGGTATCGTATTTACTTACGTCTTCTGCGGTAGGTTTGAAGATGTTTGCCTCATCCTTTTCCTGCCCCTCGCAGGGTTTTGTGTCAGAAGTATCATCTTTACTTGTCTCCTTATCTTTTTCATGCTGTGTGGCTAACTTGGCAGCAGGAGGTTCCTCTTCACCCAGGCTGATGGTTGAGACAGCATCTTTACCAATCACTTGCCCCTTTTCTTCTTTTATGGTAGCAGACGTATCACTCTTACCAATACTTTCTTCTTCTCTATTGATTTCTCTCTCTTCCTTTCCCCGCCCCATCTCTTTTTCCTCTTTCTTTTCTTCAATCACTTTATCAGATGGTTTTTGATCTGTAGAATGTACAATAGTGGGAATATCGTCCTTCTTTACATCTCTCTCCATCTCGTCTTTAAAAGGCTTGATATCTGTGGCGTGCACTGCTTCAGTCTCTGTCTTTGCAGACTTTATCGGGCTAATGTCAGAAATATCACTATCATACAAATCATCAGTTTCAAGCTTGGCTTCCTTCACCTCACCTTTGCTTTTGAGGTGAAAATCCTCATCTCTCTGTTTTGGCTCATCTTTGGTTTGTTCGATCTCAAAAGCGACAGCTTCTATGTCTGCGTCTTTGGTTGTGACTTCAGGAGTGAGGTCCTTTTCAGGCTCTTCTTTAATGGGTTTGATATCGGCCGTATCATTCTTGGTCGCCTCTTTGTCTTCTGTCTCCTCCGTGATGGACGTCACATTCAGAACGTCTTCCTGGATGACACATTTTTGTTTTTGCTCATCCTTGATTTGTTGGACATAAGAAGTGACGTCCTTTTTCCCCTCCTGTTCTGCTTTGATGGTTTGGGATGTATCTGGAGGATCATCATTATCATCCTTCTTATCATCATCATCATCGTGAATCCCCGTAAATGTACCCGTGATCGGCACTTTGGGTTCTTTTTCTTTGACCATGTCATCGGCCTCTTTAATACCTTCTCCAGATGAAATAAGTGAATCCCTCTTTCCATCTGGCTGAACTTCTCCTAAAGACGCAGAAACAAAAGGGATCGTTTCTGACCGTTTGCCTTCCTCTTTTGGAACGGATGAAGTGTCTTTTTCTGACTCCTTTATCACTGGAACCTCCTTCATGTCTTTCTCAAATGATTCGTCCAAACATGTTGAAACGTCTTCTTCGTGCTGATCTGCTTTCTGTTCAGCAACAACTATTTGTGTCTCTTTTCCTGCATAGTCTGTCTTTTTCATTTCAAGGGGCTCCTCTGAATCAGGAAGGACCTTCTGCTTCTCTTCTGCTGGTGACTGACGACTAGGAGATGGAGCTGCACTCGGTGGTTCGGACTGTGGAGGGGAGGCCATTTTCACAGTGACATCATCTGGACTGAAGCAGCGCTCCTCACTCTCTGACGTCACAGAGTCTGATCCAAAAGGTCTAGTAGGCACAACAGATAAAATAGATTTAGGTGCAACTGCATCTACCTGTTCTGCTTCAACTGGTAGGTGGACTGGTTCAGTGTCTTGTGCAGAAATGGAGCCAGCGAGCTTTTCGATATCCGTCTCTTTGCGCTGTAATAATTGGGATGAAGCGTAACCCTCATGGAGTTTTTCAAGGGAAATGTCTACGTTAGGAGTTTGGTCTTCGTCCTCCTCTTCCTCTTCTTCTTCGTCGGGAGCTTCGGGAGCGCCGGCTGGCATCTTCACGTCCGTGCCGGGGAGCTCAAAGTCACCGGAAGGAGACCTGGATCGTTTGTCTTCTTCTAAAGACGGCGGGGAGAGGGTTCCCGCGGAGCGGGGCTGTTCTTTGCCTTGGCTGGCGTCGGGCGCGGTGACGGGGCTCCTGGGGGGCTCCTCGGCTGCCGGTGCTGCATTCGACGCCGCAGATTGGTCCTCGGCAATGGAGTCGGGGAAGGAGCAGACCTTGTCGTACTCCGTGATGGACGTTGCAGAGGACACATGCTCCTCTTCTGCCAGAGGAGCGGTGATGATGTTAGTGAACACGGAAACCTGCTCCTGCACGCCGGCGATGAAGCTTCTCTCGGTCGCGGCTGCAGCTCGCATCTCCCGCGCGCCGTGAACGTTGACGAATGATTCAGTCTGATCGGGAACGGAGATGTCGTAGGCGGCGACGTCGTACTGGAGGTGTGGGATCCTCTCTTCTGCCTCCTCGTGGATCTCCTCGTCGGAGATGGTCTGCTCTGTCTCAGAGTAGCCGGGGATGGTCTCGTCTTGGATGTAGGAGATGGGCTCAGCTGCACCGGCCCCGTGGACTACCGAGGTTATGGGGGCTGTGGCCCCTCCGACATGGGACAGGTAGCCCTCCTCCTCCTCCTCCTCTTCCTCTTCTTCAGCGGTTATTCGTCCACTGACCATTTCTTCTTCAGCTGCATGATAAGGTTTGATCTCTTCATCTGCTATATCATCTAAATCTTCTACCTCCTCCAGTTCAGCTTTCTCCACCACTTCCTCGTCCTCCTCTGACGGAATCATTTGTAGCTCCTCTTTTGTCACCACCTTAGCCGAAAGCTGTTCTGATTTCTCCATTCCTTCCAACTCGTGTTTCCTGTCGAGACTGTCGTCCTTTGCTTCCTTCCATTTGGCTTCATCTTCCTCTTCACCTATTCCCATATCTTCTTCCACCTCCTCTTCTGTTTTCTTATCGGCAGGCGGGGCCGCCTCCTCTTCCTCTTCCTCATCCTCATCCTGAGATGCTGCTCCTTCATCCTCAAACCGTTGAGCTTCTTCCATTTCCCTTTCTTGTGTCAACGTTTTGTCCTCAGCTTCTGGGGCCGACGGCTCCTCTTCTGGAGACTTTGCTTCAGGTGGAATTTCGGATGCTTCCTGCTTGTCCTGGATAAGGCTCTGTGTGGTCAGCTCATTACTGTCTCGAGGCTCCGCTGATGCATCTACAACTGCAGCTTTTCTAACATTTTCAAAATCCTGTGTGAGGTCTTCAGGGGTTGAGGGAACAGACGCGGCCTCAGCAGCTCCGTTCTCCATCGGTTCAGGTTGAACAGTTTGAGGTTTTGGCTCCTCGGCCTTTGGCTCAGCAGGTAAAGTCTTTGCTGCTTTGGCTTTTCCAGCCTTAGCTTTGCTCGACACTTTAGCTTTGTGCAAAGTCTTTCGGACTTCGGGGGTAAACGGTTTCAGGTCAGGCCTTGTCATTTTTCTCAGCTCCGGTTTGGATGTTTCCTTCTTTTTGTCGTCTTTGGACTTAACATCTCTCTTTTCATCTTTCTTAGCGGAGTCATCTTTCTTTACTCTCTTGATCTCCTTCTTTTCCTTGTCCTTCTTCTCATCCATTTTTGACACCCTTTCCTTAGGGTGCTTTTTCACAGATTTTTCTTTCGGGAGCTTTTTCTTTTCTGGCACATCACTTTTAGATTTGATAGTTTTAGTGGGCTTCGTCTCCTCTTTTTTCTCAGCTATATTCTCCTTGACAGAGTCAGTCTTTGCCTCTGTGGCAGCTGACACGTCATCCTCATTGTCTTTCTTTGGGGCCTTTGCAGTAGTCTTCGGGGATGACTTGAGACTCTCCTTGCTGTCTGTTCTTTGCTTCAACTTGGTCTGTTTTATAACAGAGGGAGCCGCTCCGGAGGCAATATCTTTTTGTGTGGCAACAGGATAGCGCAAGAAGTCGAGGTGCTTTAATTTCTCCAGACCCTCTAGGATCTTGTTTTGCGGTGCGTTCCCAGGGAACAGCACCCGGATGATCTTCTCATTCGGGTTGGCAGGAAGCCAGACCACTAAGGCTGTGACGGATGTCAGGTAGGGCACGGATATCTCTCCCTCCTTCCCGTTGGGCAGTACGATACCCGTTTTGGCCTTGCTGTTGCCAGCCCACTTTTGCATCAAAAACTGCATCTCTTTACTGTCCTTGACGGGGTTGAGAACATACATGTCTAACCTGCCCACGCCCATCTTGTGGAACAAAGTGATGGGCTCAATGGTGTTGCTGACCACTCGAAACAGAGGCTCCGGTTTGACTCCCAGTTTGTTCAGGTACTGCAAAGTCAGGGAGGCCTCTTCGATGCTGCGCTTCACTTTGAGATTAGATTCCGGCATTCGGAGCTTCTCCGGCACGTTGAAGAACACCACACCGAGCTCGGGCGAGATCAGGTTCTTCATCCACTCGCTGTAGTTGGTGGAGTCTTGAGACCGCTCCTCCTCCTGCTCCGCTATCTTCCTCTGAAGCAGCCCGTTGATTCCCGGGAGATTGTCGGCGCCGATGTGCGTGAGCAGGATGGAGTCGATGCGGTCCAAGTGACGAACCAGCTTCCAGAAGCAGGATTTCCGCTCGGAGCCTCCGTCCACTAAGATGTTGAAGCCGTTCACGGCGAAGAGAGCCGAGTCCCCGCGTCCGCCGGGGAAGATGTAGCAGCACGGTTTGGACAATTTCAGGAAGCCCCCGGACGTGGGGGGCTCCAGGAGGTCAAAAGGCGAGGGCACGTCGACCGTCTCAGAGATATACTCTGTGAACTCTGCGACACCCTCCATCTTGGGGAGAACAGACTCAGGGTTCAGTTTGTATTCCAGAAACTGACTCAGAGTCTGCTGCTGTCCCAGGGAGCTCCAGCCCACCTCCCCGCGGCAGCACACAGTGAGTGTAGCCTGCTGCTTGGGGGCTGTTGTGCCCAGAAGTTCACTGACCTGCAGGAGGGAGACACCCGGACATGGTGGTCAGTGATGTCCTTTCATAATAAATAATTTCACTTCACACCACACATGTTCACAAATGTACAAGATACTAATGCAAAGGATGAGGCCAGCTGTGGTTCCTTTTCCAATGAGAAGATTGGTGGTTCGATACCCTGGTCCCCCACGTCGATGTCTCCTCATATGAGATCCTCAACCCCAAATCGACCCCAAAATGTGTGCGTCATTTAATCAGGTATGGAAGCCCCGGTCATCGGCGTATGAACGACATGTTGTGTCTAAAAGTAAAAGTTTGTGACTCACTCCAGGATCAGCAAAGACGCGTGAAAACGTCTGATGGGTGAAAACTCCGGTTTGAAGAAGAAGGCCACCGTGATCTGAGCTTTGTCCACTCAAGACCAGAAGCTTGTGTCCTGCTGAGTCTGTGATTAGAGACTGGATCTGAGACACACACACACACACACACACACACACACACACACACACACACACACACACACACACACACACACACAGAAAGAGGTTGGGAGACTGAGAAAGTAGTGCCACTCTTTGAAGACAAATGGCTTCGTCGCAGGCAAAATATGCACTTTAATTGTGTCAAGGTTAATTATTTATGGCAATGAATTATCCACAAAGAAAATAAAAAACGGAAAGAGAAACAAACAAACAAATTGTATTAATTTATTTATTTATTTGATAGCTATTTAATTATATAACTTCTGTCAAGTACCAAAAGCAGGTATATGATTCTTGAGAGATAGAGATAGATTGTGATTTAATTCTGACTTTGCCTTGTTTTATAATGTATTGTATTCTGGCTGTGGTTTTTAGAAACACTAATATCAGCGTATCGGTTACTTATAAATAGTAATAATAATTAATAATAATAGTAAATAATAGTAAATAATAAATACAAGAGAAGATATATATATATATATAAAAAATATTAAAATTTGGATATAGAAAAGTTGTTGAAATATAATTGTTTTATAAATATTGAAATTGGTTGCGAAAGTCGCAAACCAAAATGAACATTTTATCAACGGTGTACAGGTACATGTGTGAGTCTCGGGTGACTGTCTTTAAAATAGGCCCCGCCCCTGACATTGAGGTGTCCACGCAACCTCCAGCGTCCTCCACTTTAGGACATGTTGACATTACCTCCGACACAACGGCGTCCTCTGACGGGTTGACGAGGACCACGGTCTCTAGCACATCACTCCTGTGGTGCAGAGTTCTTTGTCCTGAAGGAGAAGATTGAAAACATTCTGTCAGCATCCGGCGTGAATGAAGCACTTGAGCCTAAGATTAAGATTCCACTCCATCAAGGGCCGTAAATAAGATGACGCACAGCCGTCTGGGCTGGAGACTTCCTGCTGGACGACATCCAGACCTGCTCTTGGAAATCTACGCCAGAGAGATGGAATGGAAAAGCCCAACGCTAAGTTAACACCATCGACTTAGCTTGATATTAGGTCTTCAGCCAAGAAATGAAATCCATGCTTCTTCAGGGCAGAAACATATGCAAGACTGATTTATTGCAAAGCAAGCCAGACATATTAATGCTTCACAATAATGAATGGAAATCTGCACACAAAAAACAAACACAATATCACAAACTTAACTACATTGTTGAGCACATTCCCATAGATTCCTACGCATATTTATCGCGATTATACATCAGCACTTAAGTCCACTCGAGAGTGATGTTAAGCTTTTAATTCCCCATTGTTCCAGCCCAGATGCAGGCTCTAATATTAGAGAGCTCTAATAATAGGAGCACCTCCAGCACATCCCCCAGCTCAACATGTGGTCCATGAAGAAGCCTCTGATCTAAATCATTCTCATCAAAATCAACTTTATACAATTTTATCAACAGTTAAGATGGATAGATGAAATAAAAGGAAAAGTAATTGCATGCATGAAAGAAAAAAACGTAGCTTAAATATCTTGGAGGTAATGAGCGCAGCATTTGGCACTCTGAGTCAGAGCACTCGATACGGGGCTGCTTTATTACAGATGATAATCACGGCCATATTATCTGTTTCCAGCTAATGATGGATTTCATGCTTTGTTATTCTTCATTGAAGTGTGTGGCATTAACATTCTAACTGTGATGAAAATACATGGGCTGAATTCAATCGTTTGCTAGATTTGAGGTAATGTTGAATACCAAACAGCCATCCGTGACATTTTCCTTTGAACAAAGACAACCATTTATTTCCTTTTCTTCTTCCTAAATTCTTTAATAACAGTTAGTGAGGGAACGCAGCTCTTAACGCTCTACAGAGATTCAAGCATCTTTTTTAGTTCATTCTTTTAATATATTAATGTTTTAATACTGCCTTTTGTTTCTGCTATATCGCCTATTTTATTGATGAGACTTATTGGAGGTTTATTTATTGAGATGAGATTTATTGTTACATTGTAACTTTATAGCAACCGTGGGTCGTTTTTCATCTCATCCCGTTTAAATGGTTCTGTGCAACCTGTGACTCACTATAAATTGCTGCTCTGTGTGACGGGTGCTGCACTATACAAAGACTACTGCCTTGGCCTGTGGGTATGAGCAGCAGTGACCCTGGCTGAGTAGACAATAACAGGGTCTCAATAAATCAAAAAACAGAAGGTCAAAGATAACAGTATAGCCATAGTTAAAAAAAACAACTTTATTTCCCATGTGTGGAAGAACATAAACCTCGTGAACTCTGTGGATTGGTGTGAAATGAGAAACGAGGGAAAAAAGAAGATGTGGCTCCCTCTATTGATGTTACCATAGCAACACACCGCTGCAGACAGCTTCCATGGCCGATGTGACACAGAAAACAAAAGATGGAGAGGGGCTGAAGGAGTTTGAGGACGGGACGGAGAGAGATGACACCCGTCAGGAGGCGTTTCTGAGGCGTGTGCAGGGTGACCTCTCGCTCAGACCGCAGGCTGGTACCACACGGTACCATGGCAACAAAAGGCGCACTGAAGGCCACTGCTGCTCTCTCACTGGCACCGCAGGAGGTGGCTTCGACCACACAATGACTCCAAAGGTCCCGCCTACTTTACAGCTTATAACTCGGAATACAAACACTGCTTTACGTGATCCTTAACTGTGCTTTTCTGTAAATGTATTTATTAAGTATTGGGCAACACAAACAACTGAGTTTATAGCCAGACAATTAATTAATAATTAAAAGTATTGATAATAATTGGATAAGGAATAGGTTAAGTAAGACAATTAAAAATTTTATTCAAGCGAATTAATTGTCCAATCCTTAACATTTTTAAGGGCTCTTTTTTTCCCTGAAAATTTAATTACAAGATAGCAATAGGACACATGCACGTATACGTGTATAACAACATACTAATAGTCATCTTATCCGGCCCTGAGAAATGTCAAACGAACGTGTGATTCTGTACATTGGACTCGTGATAGATGTGCTCGGCCTACAAGCGGCTGTCAGATCGGAAGACGGATAGATTTTCCCATGACTCAAGGTGGGTATCGACTTCCTCCTGCAGTGCGTCAGACACGCCTCGAATAACCACATCACGCCTCCCAGCACACTGCAACATGTCAGCCCTGTCATGTAAACTGGACTGTGGATCTTTAAAGAACAGTCTGACTCGAGCTCCTTAGAACCTCCTGATACGTCTGCGGCAGAATGGTGCAGTTGATTAACAACAACGTAAAAAAAACATCCATCATGGAGCCAGTCTTTTAATCCTGTGCTCTTTAAGTTCCACTAAATAAAAAAGGCTTTAAATGACTCCTCAGCGGTGTGAATTCATCGGCCCGTCCCCGTAGCTTGTCTCCGCTGGCATCAGAGACGCAGCGTCATGCTTTCAAAGCTTTCAAAAGGCATGAACGTGCTCACAAGGACTGTTGATCTCCACAGTAAAGAACCCGTCATTTCTGTGGAGGGTTTATGGGCTCCCTGCCTTCCCCCTCAGCTGAATCCATCTTAAATACTCTGAGCTTCTTCGTATCATATCGGTTGGTCCTCTAACGCAGCGTCATTAGCATACTATTGTGACACATTTCTGCAGTTCACTCAGTTCACAACAAAAAGAAGAAAAAAAAACTCCTTTAACTCCAGACTTCATTTGAGAGACTGAGTGTCAAATTCTTGAGTCCAGTTAAAAATAGAGAAGAAGTTTGTTCCTAAATGTGGAATTGATGTACAAGTCTAACAATTAATTTACTCTTTTCAGGGTGTATCAGGTTTTTACGGCTATTTCCGCCCAATTGAAACTACTATATTGATGGTGGATCAGATAGTGATAGATTGGTCAATATTACATTTCAAAGGAACACTTAAATTGGGCAGATGTTTGGCAAACGTATTACAGAGCATGGCATTTTACAGTAAAAAACAACTAACATATAGTATAAGTATAAGTATATAACTAAGTGTTATCTAGAAGATCATATTTAAAGAACAAATTCTCTCTTAAATACCATTGTCATTTTCTGCATTAATTATATGTTCAGCTGATGTATTTGGACAATAGTCAGGACATTTTGATATATTAATGTGACTTACAACGCAGGCATTATTAATCTCCTGTCAACAACTCCCATGAAAAGACTAAAACCAACAAATAAGTTCATGAGTAAACAGCTTAAAATGCTTTACGCCTCAGTATTATAATAATTCCTTAAACTGCTCTGGAGTGTGGTTTTATTTATCAGACTCGGGGGCAAGAAGACATTTGTTGGGAACTATTTTCAGCTGCGGATGAATCCACATTTGGAGCCCTAATGAGACGACGTAGGTGGGATGGAGTCAAAATAAACAAAGTGGAGCTCGTTTTAGTGTCATTTCTATATTTTTAGGACAAAATTAGAGTTCTACTGTAAATAGGATAGGAAGGAAGGAAGGAAGGAAGGTCGTTCGTCAGACGGGACGCTTCTGCTCATTCCGGCTCCCCCTCGGCTGACCTGCTTGATATAAATACCCAAGTCTGAACTCCCAAAACGAGAACGCCCTGTTTAAAGGCGGCTAAAGCGGAGCAGCGGTGGAGCGAGGCCCGGCCGCTGCTCCACATAGCCTGCTCCACATTTACGGAGGCAAGTGGGTTCAAGGAATTTGAAGACAACTTGTCAAAAGCTTTTGGGCAGTTAGCTGTTTAGTGTGCAGGTGAGTTATCATGAAATCCAGTTTAAGCTGTGATAAAGCGGTACCGAGGACAGCTCCTCGTTTAAAAAGTAAAAGCCCTTTTGTGATCTAGTGTCAGACATCCTGTTCTAAATATAGAACATATGACGGTGGGAAGTTTTCTGCTAGGAAAGCAAATCAGCTCACACACATACAAACAAGGTCAAAGCATTGTTGTTAGAAGGTCGAGCCTTGACCCCTACGAAGAAAAGGTCACAGCTAGGATTAGTAAAAGAAAAGGTTGATAAAAAGACCTTTCCTTCAAGGGGACCATCAGGGATGTAAGACATTATATAATCTTGTGTTTAATTTGATCAGTTCATCTATATTTGTTTTCTTGCAGCATTTATCTTGTTTTCTGTTTAAAGTAAATTAAAACAAAATGAGGTTGGGTAATGAGCTGAACTGATGCCTCACTCTTCATCAAATTGTTATTTCGCTTAATTCCGTTTTCCTAATGGGAGCTCCTTCCTTCCGTCGGACTGGGAGCTTTCGCCTGCGCTCAGAGACCAAATGATGTGAAGTGGTGGGTCGGAAAATGAATTAGGTCGCCATGGGCCGCCCGTACTCATCTTCACCCACCAGCACGACCGCACACCGTTCGTTAGTGCCTAAAACCACTGCAGGGCATTGAAATGCATCCTGTCACTCCCAAACATGGCCAATAAATTAAAACACAAACTGATTAATGTTATGTAATCTAATATATCATCCGTGAACTATGAACCACTATAATCAAAACCCACGCGTTTCAGATTAATTAGCTTCTCAAGCCAAAATTACACATCATTTGAGGTCACCTCCAGGACACAAACCAGCTCATTAGCTCGCCGCGGCGACAGGAAGCTTTAGTTCTCTCTCTTAGTTCCTGTCATTTTGACTTGGCAGCACTGCACGTTTGGCTACTACTAATCCGTCTAAGCCTTCATTCCAGTTAGAGTTCTGTCTCTGGGGAAGAAGCAAAAACATTAGTATCCAAAGTATATTTGAATTGGTCAAAATGGTTGATTGGTTATGTCTAAAACTTTGTTTGTAGCCAATGCCCAAGTGTATCTATCGGTTTCACTGGATTCCCAAATTGGCCATTGAAG